CCCCACCACCGCCGCCACCACCACCACCGCCACCACCACGGACGCCGTCGCCTCTATCCCATGTAAAAGTACAGCTGCTGCCAGCCTGATCACGGACATTTGCAATGGCAGGAGTCAGTGCATGGTGGCTGCCTCGAATAGTTTGTTTGGGGACCCCTGTCCTGGCCTGACCGAGTATGTCACTTTGACCTACACAGTTATTGAGAAGTAACCAGGTAAGTTCAATATATCCCTGGTGGCTGGTCATGAACCAACTTTGCCCCGCTGTTGAGACTGAAAAGTGATTTCGTATTTTAAAAAAGAAACACGTCCCAATCAGTGGCCTTAAAAAGTCCCAATCACTGGCGTATCAAGATGGTTTCGGAAAGGGGACATCTTCTTATGAACGATCTATGTATTTCGGTTTTCCAGGCTTCCTCTTGTTTGTAGAGCAGGGGATAGGGGTCAGGGTGTCAGATGTCAGTTTGTCAGAGTTAAGGGAGAACTTTAAACATATAGATATGTCCCCATTTCGGTTTCAACTTTTCTTTTCCCAGATCAAATTATTCTGCTTCATGAATGCTAAGTAAATTAGCACATTATACAGCCATGCGAGGTTTGAGAATATATATTACATGTATATAATTCGACATCTCTGACATTTTTACCTCTTACATTTTACCTGCCCATACCGACCCCTACTCCCTCCAGAAGAAATAGGTCTATCCACTTTCAATTGTCTACCAAAAATGTACCTGAAATATGCTAACTTTATTTTGTGCTATCACTGTTCCCAATATAGGCATTCTAGACCTCAATCCACCAACTAAGGATTCATCAACATCAAACACAGCGCCATCTACGACAAAATCCTCAACTATCCGTCAACAACATTGGCCTGGCCTGTGAAGACTAGATTAACCATCAAAATCAAACTGAAAAACAGAGGAAGTAAAATGTATTAGCTTATGACATATTGTCAACCATGGAATTGGCTTAATTGGCAAAAACACGACAAATGGCTAATGTAGACTTCCTGTATTGACTTGTACTTTGTATAATATGCATAAGGTTAAAGGTAATACAAAGTTTTGGTATGGGGTCATGAATTTGGTTCAAATGAAGATATTGGAAGCATATGCGATCCTACAATATTCAGTAATCGTTGTCGGGGTCGAAATCGACTCTGAAGTTATGAAATTGTAAATAATAAACACTTTATGTTGAATAGCTCCCTCTCAAGGTCAAGATATTAATTAAGCTATAAACTAGGCGTTGTGGCGTGCGCCTGTAATCCAGCTAAAAAGTGGAAGTTACAAACTGATTCAGCCGAGGACGCAGGTTCGAAACTGAGTCACGTCTTTCGGATGGTGACGTTTAAAGGTCGGTCCCAGACGTAAATAATCATATCTGATTGATACACGTCTGTAAAAACCCAATACACACACACACACATATAAAACAATGTTCATTGACTAAAATCGACCGATTAGCTATTCTCGTTCGGAAATTATATACCACAACTACATACTCTGAGATTTTAATGGTCGCAGCTACCATTGTACGGCCGTAGGAACTATTGCATCCAAATATATTAAAATTGTAAAGAATCACTATCCACCATTTTTTCGAAATTTCCAAAAAACTTTGTAATACCTTTAAATTATGTTTACGATATCTTCTTCGTGTTGTTGTTGTTGCATGGTGGTGGTTTAGTGGCTATTGTCCATCGGTGATTAAAGGTATCCTTACACTGTACGGGAGTGGAAATTGGCTAGTTTAGGAGTTATTATGAGGGGTTCCAAATCACAGAGACATCCATTCCATAGTTGCGGTTGAAATAATCTTCCATCATATAATTATAGTGAATTCAAGCTTTGAATCTGAGAACCCCTCTTGTTAGGTTTGTAATTACCATTTTATCATTTATTTGCCTCTTTTTGTGTATAGTGTTTGTATTTGGTGTGGGATCGTGTAGTTTATGTAACTTCTTGCTGATCAAACCACTTCGTAATTCCTCTGGTGTATTTTCCATTCTATTGTCTTATCCGTATTTATAAGAAATATTTTATTGTCATGATTGAATACTTTGGCTTTGTATGATTGTATGAAAGTGGTGATAACATTCAATTAAAAACCTTTTACGAAGTGTTCCCTAGTATTACCAAATGTGGATTTCCACCGTTGGATTTTTGTAATGACTCTTCATGTATTCTGAATCCTTTTTGCCTCTTTATAATTATGTATTTCCCTGGCTATTTTGTTTTAGTCGATCTCAGTAAATCTCTGGAATATTCTACATAGGTCTCCAGAAGCGCCCATCCCGCTCCCTCTATATATCCCTCTCTCTCTCTCTCTCTCTCTTTCTCTCTCTCTCTCCCCTCTCTCTCTCATTCTTATTCTCTCTCTCTCTATTTCTTATTCCCTCCCCCTCTCTGTCTATCTTTCTTTCTTTCTCTCTCTCTCTCTTTCTTTACTCCTCTCTCTCTCTCTCTCTCTCTCTATTACTTTCCTCATATCTCACACCTTGTCTTCAACACGGTTTTCTCCCCCTCTCTCCGTCTCGTTTAATCTGTATTACATTATCTGCCGTAGACTCTCCATATATCTTCTCTGTCTATAGTCTCAAATTGTAAATTCGAAATTGACTACTGCAGTGAAGCGAACAGGCGAACAAACATACCGCTGTATAGTTCTAATCAAAATTAAATTTAATGTAAACTCATTAAACAATATTTGAAACCACAAAAAAAAGACACAGCACTTTTCTCCTAATATAGACATGCGATGGAATGTTACGCTCTGTTAAGTTCACCGGTTATATTCTACTTTTCGAAACCGCTATCGTGTCATGATTTTGGATAATTTTCCTATTGTTTTTTTTTTTTTTTTAATTAATGAAGAACCTAAGTTAATGCAAGATATGTCTACTTAAATGACTTTATCATTTACCCCCCCCCCCCCCCTTCCTCCTGGGCAGAAACAACCACACATCCACACACGCACTCACACACAGATAACAATCAAAGTATTCTCGAATGATCTTTTCCCGCAGTTTAAGGCAACGCCACTGGCTGGCTCTACAACTCTATACTGCTGATTGCCCGACCTTCGCTATTAAAGCCAACAGATTTCCCGAGTAAAATAATCGTTTATAATAAGTTGACGTTTGTCATTAGACCGCGGACTGTTGTCAAGTACGGGATTAATATACTAATTATGTTGTATTGGTATTAATACATGCGGTAAAATTACAAACGTTCTAGCTTTCATTGCCTTTTGTGTAAGTTTGTCCAGCTAATGGTGTACTGTGCATGAAAGCTATTTTTGAATCGTCATCATGATTATTTCACCAACGGGATTAACAGGAGGTAGAATGATAGAGACAAAAAAAAAACGAAAATTAGAAGGGAAAAAACACGTATCTTAACGAAACTTATAAGACTTGTGAAAATTAACGAAGAGATAAATATGCATATACAACAATAAAAAGGATAAATACAAGAGACATAGAGACAGAGAGAGAGAGAGAGAGAGAGAGGGAGTGTGTCGTTGGCTAGATCGATAAAAATGGAAACAACTAAAAGAAATTAGAAATGACGAGGTTGAGCTGGGAGAGAGAAAAAGAGGGAAGGGCGGCATCATGCCTGACTGTAATGTCACAGCTGGAAAGACGTAAATTTAGACATTATTTTTTTTTTAATAAGGAGATGTATTAATATTCTTTATTGTGCAAACAATTGTGATAGGAAATGAAATAAAATTGATCAATCAATCAACTCAGAGAATCACTGGTGAAAGAAAGATGATAATTTGTTTCAATCGCTCTTATGGGGGGGGGGGGGGGGGGTCCAATAAAAAAGAAAATTGGCATGTCAATATTAAGCACTTTTAAAAATATGAAAAAGGAGTAGGACAGAATCAAATCTATTCTTTGCATTGTGAGCGTTCACTTATCCACAATTAAGACCACTATGCCTCACTGATATCGCTTATATTTTTTTAATTTCTTGTTAACACTTTTTAATTCAATGTCGATGAATTTACCTCAAAAATGCAGATTTACTGATTTTACACTTTACAATAGGCTTACGGTTGCACCGTTTGAGAGAGGGGGAGGATTGAGGAGTCCTGAAGGGGACTGTCGGTAATCTTTCTTAGTCTTGGTAATGATGATTATTTTTTATAGTCCGTAAGATTGCCCGTAAAATCTTATTTTTAGTAACTTGTAAGAAAACAGTATTGCTGTCCTTCGTGTTCTTTGGATACTACGTTCACTTTGTTATTTTAACAATGACATGGAAATGTATATTTTCAGTGAAATAAAAAGGGGTTCAACATAATTATACATCAGTGTATTTTTGAGAGATATGAAAAAAGGAAAAAAAGAAAAAAGAAAAGATCTACCTGGGCATTGAACCCGTATACCTTCCAATGACGAGACGATCGCCTACCCGTAAAGGCTGCATGCCTCACTAAAATCTGAATTAATGTTTTAATTTTAAGAAGTATTTCAAGATGACGATTACTACACGCATTTGACTCATAGTTTGCTCTCAAAGTACGTGTTTGTGTCTAAGATATAATATAACAATAATAAATAATAAAAACGGAGATTATAGAGCGCTTACCACCGAAGTCTCTAAGCACTATAACATACACAATACAGTGATAAACAATTAAATATTAAACAAAACAAAATAGTGCAAAAACCTACAAATTACAATGCATATGAAATACACATCAATGTGAACAGAGTATAGTTAATTATCAAAAGAAATAGTTACGTGTTGTTATACCCATGGAAATAGAATTTATCCATTATCTTGATCAACTAGGCCCATTTATTCTATATATTCATACCCTTGCCCCCAACTGGGCCTATACTGGCTAAATATAAGAACAAAAGACAGTGAAAATTCAAGACAATTGTCTAAAAACAAATATTGAGCAATGACCGTGATCCCTTTAAATCACATGATATTGAATAGTCACATGATAATTATATTTGCTATTTTCATCGATCCTTAGCTAGCGCATGCGCTGTGGGTAAGCATTGACGAATTTTGTCAACATGGCGAAGAAACACTCACCTATAAATCTGTCGAAACTGCTACTAATACAGAGTTTTATCTTGCTAATATTCAATGGAAGGAATTCATCTGCGTGCACCGTTGGAAGCTTTGATTTAACCAATATCCAGACTTGGTATGTGACGAAAATATATGTCTTTGTTATGACTGTATAATCTCAACCTCAGAATTATAGTGTGGTCCCATACGTAGACAAATGATGTCGCATGTTCTTATTTCTATTAGAATAAGTGGTAAAATTGCATTTTTCTGTCGGTCGTCTTTATGTTCTTAGACATTTGAGGTTTTAATATCATCTTCTTCTTCTTCTTCTTCTTCTTCTTCTTCTTGGTTACCTCCAGGTTTGGAGAACTGCGGAGTGTATCCTTCGCAGATCGAGTAGATCTAGACCTAAATAGAGTAAAGGAGCCCGTTTTCGGCCACTTAAGACAAAATCCTATTTTTAGGACTCTTTACTTCCTATTTATTATCATTTCTTGTTCAAATCATGAAGCAAATATTATTATTATTTAAACAAAAAAAGAATCCCAGAAAAAAATCACGAATTGCCATGACAATATTCATTTCAATTTTCACTGTTTTGGAGCCCGTTATCGGCCGAGCGTTTCAGTTTACGGCCGCATGTACAAAGTCAATAGGAAGCGCTCGCGCGCGCCGTGCGTTTCCGCGCTGATGTACAGCACAAGCGGGCGGAGCAGGTATCCCACGCCGGAGCTCCCTGGTGCTCGCCTGGCCGAAGACAGGCACAGCGGTGATCGGAAGTTCGAATCTGAATTAGACAGAGATATCGTGTGTGCGTCGCGGTGTGCGGCTGCATTGATTTAATACATGCGATGACATACTTTTGAGCTTGCGACTAGCACAAAATCGGGCTTTAAATCTGAAAAATACTTGAAATAAAGCTCATTTTATGGTACCCATATTTCTTACAGACACGCGTAAGATACTCGATTTTTCAGATTTGGGTAGCGGGACCGGCGATGACATCGCTAAAATGTGATATTTTAGGATATATTTTCCATTGCAAATGTGGTTCTTCAGTGACACTGGCATGGTATGGTATGTGTGGGATATGTGTTATGCTATTATGCGATGTATTTTAGAGTGATTTTACCTTGCATCCAACCAATCGGCCGAAAACTGGAGCTGGCCGATTACGGGCTCCTTTACTCTAGATAATAGTAGGGTGTCTGAACGATTTTTCAATTTTCAATTTGGGATCGTTTTTCACCATTTTTGTTTGATATTTGAATAAAAAATGTTATCAGAATAATACATTTCAAATTTCAAGTCTCACCGATGTTTCTATCAAAAGTTACAGCCCCTCCAAAACGCTGGTATATTCATATCATATTGGTCAAAATCGACGAAAAAGACGTCCACGCAGAGTGATGTTGTTTTGCTAAATTTAGCCAAACAGCTGTATCGCGCGATATGCAAGCGTATGCATATCGTACGCATGCTGCTAAGCCAATCCGCGACTTGCAGCTTGAGCTACGCTGTCTCCGCGACATGTGCCATTGACTAGTATGGTTGGCGTTCGTCGCACAATAAACCCGGAAGTGAATGCACGTTATAGTCAATGGCAATATCGCGGAGATGTCTCCGCGATATTGCCATTGACTATAACGTGTATTCACTTCCGGGTTCTATGCCGCGAATGGCCACCCATACTTTCTTTCACTCTAATGTGTAATTGAATTTGGGGTTTCGTACGTACGCGGAGATGTTACGCGATGTAACCATGGTTTGGACTGAGCGGAGCGCACGCCCCCTAATTAGCTGATCCACCAAATAGCGAGAAGGGTATTTTTAAACTGTTAATCAGTTGTGATCCCTGGGGGCTAGCGAAAAAATAATCACATAGAATTGTTCCTTAGGACTGGGACTACTTATCGATCGGGGCGTCATATCTCAAAAGTGACAAACCTCAGAGTTAGCCAGGACACAATGTTTCAATTGCTGTTTTGACCAAGATATTTTTAGAATTTCGGGGGCTACGCCCCTTTGGAAATATTGGAATTTACCTGCTCTTTCATATGACACCTCATTTATTGAGTATCACCTTCAGGATCACAACAGATAAAAGTTTGAATCTCGAATTGAAAAAAAAAAATTGACTTTTTTTGCATGGTCGCGCAATGCACGTAGACTGCATAGGGATGCGTGTAATCTCTATGGGAAGAATTTTAGCACACAACATCGGGTGCGCGATCAGACACCCTAATAATAGTCTACTCTAGACAGATGATACAAAACTGGGTAGGCCCACACATAGGTGCATTAGACCTACTATCCTGGCTGTGTATTAAAAGCTGTGCTTTTGATTTTCAACATTTCAAACACCACTGTACAAAACTCAACTAATTTCACCCAAAATCGGTACTTTAGTGACAATTGATGACACCTAAATAGCAGTAAAATACTTTTTTTTAACTTTCCGATGTTAGAAAGAATAATTTAAAAATTCAAATCGTGAGTCTACTGTCAACTTTTCCGATCAGCCGCATCGGCGTGACTGTGTGCATTTGCGTGTTGTGAGTGTATCAACTATTCATGTATTCAAATACTTCCTATTAACACGTAGTGCAGTGCTAGAGGTCAATACGCATTAACATTGACTCTCTATGCTTTGCTGGAGTGGGTAGGCCTACATAATATCAGAGATCACAAGATGTGCAAATGACAACTTATGCAGGAACTGCTTTGTTCACAACAAAACGTTTCAAGTGCATATCTAAGATGATGATTTCACAACTTTCTTAGCTGTCTTGGAAGAGCCAGGTTTATTTCTTTGCAGCAGTCGTCTTCTTTGGTTTCAAGGCATCATCCGAGTCTGAGGTGGTCCAAGATTTCACAACTTTCTTAGCTGTCTTAGAAGAGCCAGGTTTATTTCTTTGCAGCAGTCTTCTTTTTTGGTTTCAAGGCATCATCTGAGTCTGAGGTGGTCCAAGATTTCACAACTTTCTTAGCTGTCTTGGAAGAGCCAGGTTTATTTCTTTGCAGCAGTCGTCTTCTTTGGTTTCAAGGCATCATCCGAGTCTGAGGTGGTCCAAGATTTTACAACTTTCTTAGCTGTCTTGGAAGAGCCAGGTTTATTTCTTTGCAGCAGTCGTCTTCTTTGGTTTCAAGGCATTATCCGAGTCTTTCTTTCATAACACACATTACAAATATGACATGAATATAACAAGTGAACAGAATATGGCGTTACAATAAAAAGATGAGGTGACCTTGGTTGAAAGCAAGGCTTGTGGATTTAAGGTCCCTCATGAGTAGTTTATGAGTATGTCCTAAAAGAAAAAACTTGTCAGATAAGAATAATGCGTACATTTATATGCTTACAAACTAAACTAACTAAACAACTGAGAAAATATTAAACATAAATAAGTACAATAAAATCTACTGACTACTAAATAATGGCTATAAACAACAGGAACAGGAATAAACTATGAGCAACAGGACTGAAACACAGACAAAAACTAAACAAGACAGACATATGAATAGATGTGAGAAACAGGAGTAGAATTATGCTGACCTTTATAGCAAATAATTTTCTTAAATATTGATCACAACTATAAATCTAGACGATATCAACTCAAATAAAGTAACTTCAGTTTGCGCTTAAATACATAAATACTGACCGATTGCGCTATTCTTGGTTCAAGGGAATTCCAAAACCTAGGTCCAGTGGACCCCAAAGTAGTAAGGGCAAATTGCGTTCTAACAAGAGGTAAGTGATATGCTTGCGCCTGTCGTGTGGAATAACTATGAACTTGGTTATTTTTCTTAAATATTCCCACGAATAGCTCTTCAAAAGAAAAAAATAAACAAGCATAGAAAATTAAAAATACTTAATATCAGACTCAGATTAGATCTAGATTAGATCTAGATTAGATCTAGAAAATCTAAATGTAAATGAATGAGGTACATGTAGGCCTACCAGCAAAATGTAAATTAAAAATTACTGGAAATATATTCAGTTGCAGTACTGGCCAACGTCAGATGTATTGTCGTACTGTGCCTATAATAGCCTATGAATTTTCTGCCTCATTACAAAATGAATGAACTCAAAACATATGCAATCAACTGATCTAACGATAAATACAAATAATATAATTATTTGTGTATTTTAATCATATTTAAAAAAAAAGAAAATCATAGAATTAATTGCTTGAGCATGTGTTGTAGAACTGCAAACTTTGCATTGTTTCTTTCTCTATGAATGTACTCTCTTTTCTGTATTAAAAAAACAATCTTTTAGGGGCACATGGACAGCTCAAACCACAGTGGACGGCACAGCAAGTACATTCTATCTGAACCTGTGTGAGAATGTTGCCTCAAGCCCTGGCTCTCCGGGCTGCGACACGACTGTCTCGTCTTGCTTGAAGCAGGGAGATGCTTTTACAAATGTCGGAAACCACAATGACACCCTGCAGCTTACAATTAACGAAAACACAGGAGGATTTCGTCTGGACTACAGGGGAAGCGTTTGCAACGTGACGGAAAAGTACCAGACAACCATAGATTTCAAATGTGGCACCACATTGGTAGGTTTCAATTCTTTCTTTCTTGATTTGATTTTGTTTGGCAATCAGTCACAGTTGACTATTTTTGCCACACACTATTTTATGAATTATTTATATATATGTACAATTGCATGTCATAAATGACTATTTTTAGGATTCTTTTTCTTTTCAATTTAATTCAAATTAGGTTTTATTCAAGACTTGTCAAAAAGTCCAAAGACTAAAAATGCAAGTTTACATCAAACATACAATCATATGAAAAAGCATTCAAAAACATAGCAAAAGGGGAAGAAATATGTTTCAAAATAAATAAATGTTCACATCAAAACATCAAAGCAGTACAACAACAAACAAAACAAAATACCCCAAAAATACAAAATATAAAATATTGCTAGCATGTCAGCTGAGTGTACTGATAATAAAGGTACTCAAAAAATGAAAAAATTAAGGCCTTCTGTTTTGTTACTGAGAGAATAATTGGTTTGTCTTATTTTGCTAGAGACCATGTGTGGTATTGAAGTTGCCGTTAGACCCAGGGCACTCAATCCATTAGAACTTACAAACATAAGATCATAAAATTACTAAAATTTTCAAGTCATCTGGATAAAGATTTTAAGCAAAATGTTGCGCTGGACAGGTAGACTTTGACAGGTGGTTGTTGTGTACAGGTTCTTAACTACTTGAAATCTCACAGGGGGTTTTAAGTGGTTGTTATAGACAGGTGGTTGTTAACACAGGTTTGACTGTACTTCTCTTTTTCCCTAAAAACTTGATCAGAACAGTGTAATTTTTGCAATAAATTCCCTCATAAACTGGCCCTTTCGGAACTTATTCATGATATCGTAAAGTTTTAATGATCTTCAATTATCTTGCTCTAATTCTTTTTACTATTTATTTAATCATCATTCTGGTTTTGTACCACTGTTTTTATATAAAATAAGTCTCCTCTGGTGAAGGCTCTCAGAAGGCTGGTGAAATGACACAGAGTTTTTTTTAAAGTTTAGCAGGCTTTTCATGTACGAGTAACAGGCACAGACATGAGTGTAACTCTTCGATTTTACAGCCATAGAACGCTGAATTTAAGTCATCATAATTAACAATGAAAGATGTTGTATCGTTCTGCAGGGCTCACCAAATTTCTTGGAGAAGTCTGGCTGCACCTATTTCTTTGAATGGTACAGCACAGTGGCATGCAGCAGCGTTAATGGTCCAGCGCTCAACGAGGTCCCGTGCTCCATCTATGATTCGAAAGGAAAGGAGCGTGACCTTTCACCCCTGATCAAACTGAAGGGGGGCTACCTGGTGGAGTCTCCTGATGCTGATGATCTTTACATCAATGTATGCAGGGACATCACTGCAGGTAAGCCAGAAGTTGCAAATACTGATATTATGCTGGATTTATGTACATGTAGCACTTATTACCGCCATACTGCATTACCACCAAATCCCTGCTAGCGCCATTTCGGGTCAGCAGTAGCAGCATGGTCCTATAGCTTGCTGCATCCCTAGCTGCGCTGTTTGTTCTAGCATAGAGTCGTCTGTCAGCGACGTGGGAGTTAGTTCATCAGCTTAGTATGGCTTTAATACTTTTACCATGTGCCTAAATTCTTGAATGTAATTGTACTCGCCCCATTCATCAGATTCAGACTTTACCACATACAATGTGCGTACATTCTAAAGTCCTGTGGAGGCATTTCATTGAGGCACGAAATAGCATATTAACATGATGCTGAACAAACCACAATGATATTCACATTCCATCGGGTACCCAATTTACACCTGGGTGGAGAGAGGCATTTTAGTTGAGATGCCTGGCTTAACCACAGAATTTCCATGCTGGAGATCAAACATTGACCTACAGTACACATCTTTAGTCAAGTTGTAGAGAGAACAACACCAGTGCAACGTTTAAAGCCACACTGTCCTACTGGTAGCTACTTGCTCCCTCTATATAGAAAACAATGCCTAATCGGTGACCATGGGTCCCCCATGATCCTCTTTTTCTTATGTTAATTGAGAGCTGAGTTGAAAACTCTCCTATAAACTAGTACAGATAAGCTTTAAGGGCAATGTGGAAAAATGGTTCTTTATCCTACACTATAGGATTTCAGTCTTGACTTTATGAGTTTAAATCCTGGCCCATTACGTAGACAACATGGCTGTTACTTTCAACAAATCTCATTTAAATATATGCACTATGTGAGTTTTTTTCCCTTACATATTCTTACTGTCTGAAAGACTTTGGATCCGTCTTCTAAAAATTTGTGATTTATCTTAATCTATCACAATTCATTTGCAAACTTACACTTACAGTTGCCTGTCTCTTGTACAGCACTTACCTTTGTTATCAAATTGAAGTTTATGATCGATTTGAATCACAATTCTTGACAAGACAAGAATCAGATCTACTTGACATAAAATCACAAATGCTTTTCTACTTTGTATCAGATACCAGTGGTCCAACCGCCGGGTGTCCAGCTGGATCTGCAGGCTGTCTGGTCAAGAAGGGTCTGTCAGTGGGAATGGGTACACCCCACCTTAAACTGGAGAGCCTCTCCGATGATGAGCTCAAGCTTCACTATGGGGGAGCGGGGGTCCTGGACTCGTGCAACGGTTTTGTTCCCTCCGTGACTGTGGTGTTTATGTGTCCTCGGGAGCAGGGCAGGTTTGCTGCGGTGAGTCAATATTTTACAGAATAATGTTAAACCTTCATATAAAGACCATGGCCCGAATTCACAAAGGAGGTTTGTCAACGAACCTATGTTTATGTGCGTCATATGACGCGTTTCAATGCGTTTTAGACCAAGGTGCAGACAAACCTTGATCTGAAACGCATCATATGATGCTCATAAACCTTGGTTTGTTTACAAACCTCCTTTGTGAATTCGGCCTCATGTGTAAGAAAGATGGTCAGTAGTCTTTATAGACATGTATTTTCAATTTGCAGGTTTCTATTCTGTTGCTCCAGAGAGCGGGGGAAATTTGCCACGATGAGGGAATATTTCACGGAATAAAGTTAAACTGTTACAAGACCATATTAGGGAAAACAAGCATAGCCGTCTTTAAAGACAGGTGTTTTTGGTTCTACTCTTATGTCTAAGGGAGCAGGAAAAGATTTGGCATGGCCAATGAACATATATTACAGGATAATAGCGAGCCGTTATATAAGGACCACGTGAAGGAAAATGAGAATAGTGGTCTAGACTGGTGGTTTCAATATTCAGGTTCTATCTGTGTTATCCAAAGAGGAAGGGAGATTTGTTACAATAACAGGATGATGTCAAACTTTTACATAAAAACTGCTGAAGGGAAGCTAGGAAGACTAGCATTCTATGTTGAAGGGATGACACTATATAGCAGTCTTTCATGTGTCACAGAGAGCAAGATATTTACATTGTGTTTAAGGTGTATAGAGAATAGTGTTTAACCTATATACAGATAATTGGCAAGCAGTCTTTATATTGTTTATGTTTTTTGCAAGTCTAGTCATTTTTGCTTTGCCTTGAGTCAAAGTGAAGAACATATGAATCAGTTTTATGTAGAGCTTCATGGGTATTTCTACAGGTTTGTGTCGGTTTCAGATGTGATCATTTATCTTAATTTACTTTCACATCTGTGTGTAAATGCAGAAGATAGTTTCACAAGGAAGCAAAAATAGACAGAGTCTAGATTACACAGTATTCTATCTATCTAATATCATTTCCAACAAAGTAATTTTATATGGATAGCTCCTTAAAGGTGAAGTTGAGTTCTGGTCATGTGATTGATTGAGAAAGAAGCGTTGTGGAATCGATCAGAAAAGGTTGATCATCTACAGTACATGTAGCATATATATGTAAATGTTGATGTGTACTGCAAGGTTTTGGAATCATCAAAATGATAAGAAATTTGGCCCAGTCTTGGTATAGTTACAAGCACCATACACAGAAAGATGTATATGGGACTACACAAACATGCAGCATAAAAATCTGTCCTCATGTTTATGCTGTTACAAGCCATATTTAGAATATGAAGGCATTTGAAGAGCCATTCTTTTTAGGGAACATGTTTAATCTGATGTTCTTCCACACTTGCATAATAACAATGATAACACTCCCAATTTTTTGTTCACCTCTTCCCAGAACTCAACTTTCTCTTTAAGTGTCTCTAAAGAAATTAATTGCTTCCTTGCAGGATATAAACTATAATGAATACTTGCTACCTTAAAGGCAAAGACCAGTATTGGAAACGCCCCAAGTTCAAAAAATGAAATGGAAGCTCTTATTACCAATCATTTGAAAGAAGATGTTTTGACTAATACATGATGATAACAATTTTGCAGGGAAACCCCCTACTTATTGATATATTTGGTAAATTATTTTATCTATTGGCCTGTGAGAGATAAACGCACGTGTCGTGCACGTGTGCATACATCTTTCTGTGTACAGTGCTTGTAACTTTACGAAGACTGGGCCAAATTTCTTATCATTTTGATGATTCCACAACCTTGCAGTACATACCAATACTTATATGCTAGATAATCAACCTTTTCTGATCGATTCCACAACGTTTCTTTCACAATGCAATCGCATGACCATAACTGATCTTTATCTTTAATCTCATACCTTGAATGGATGATACTGTGCTTTAGAATATCAGCCATTATGACATGCCTATACACTGTACATCTAACAGTCTATGGCAAATCACTGTAAGACTTTCCAGTTTGTATTTTTCTCCTGTAAATTTGGCAGATATATCTTTGCTCTAATGAATCTCATAGTAACAAATTATAAATGTATAACAAAATAATAAATGTAGCCCAATTTTTTTGTCGAACACAAACTGAAGTGCTAATACAATTGATCAGTTCAAAGTGCCTAGCAAACTGATAAAATGTGTTTTTCAAAAGTTTCTTCTCTCATTTGTATACATTTAGTAGTACATTGTAGATCTTAGCATTCAAACTCGCTTTCTTTCCATTCTCCTGCACAGACCCGTGGCCCAATTCAGCTGTCCAGCACAAATTGCCAGTACCAGATACAGTGGCAGACAGAGTATGCTTGTGAGGTAGATATGCTTAGTACAGACACGTGTGCCTTCAACTCGCCAACGCATGGCATCGACTTTGACCTTTCACCTCTCACCAAACCAGGTCGGTGGAGAAAACATTATCTTTTTAATTGGAGTCGATTTAATTTTATTTCATATGAGTTATTTTTTAAACCAAAATTATCTTACACACCTATATATATATATATATATATATATATATATATATATATGGCACAGTTCTTACTGAGCTTTGTCTTCAGTTGGTAATACGATGTATGCAAGTTCTTTCCTTTCAAATGTAGTGCATATTCCCAATAGAAGAAATTTGTACTCGATACTTTAAATAGCCAACTCCTTGCAAAATTTCTCATGATGTGATGGTCCAGTACTTCCTGTCTATTAAAGGGACTTCGTAACATTGTCCAGATGAGAGATAGTGGTGCTAAGGTAGTGACTTCAATGCTAGATGTACAATTAAAGATAATCTGAAAATTTGAGTGACAACGGATCATTATTCATGGTACAAATTGGGAAAAACTGATCTGATCGATTCCTTAATTCTCCCAACTATATTATTCTAATTCTATTCTGCTACTTGTCAAAGCCTGTTCAGCATCAAGACAAGGACAATTTAATTACATTTTAGGTGAATGTAAATCGTCACAAAGCAATAAAATGGCTCTACATTCCATTCCAGACAGTTAAGTGTTGACAGATTTTTATAGCCTGTTTTATGTATTTTTCTCATGGAAAAACGTTTGAGAAAATTCAAAAATGGTTGGGAGAATTTACTGTTAATCACTGTTAGAGGGTGCCTCACGTCGGCACCTTAAAAGAAAACCATAGATATCTTTTGTGGTTTGAGAATTTGTTCAGGATTTTTTGCATGTCAGAGGGTTAGTATAGTAGAAGGAATATAGTAAGTAACATTTTATACAAAAATTAAGCATTTGTTTTCATCAACCTTCGACAATGTTACCGAGTCACTTTAACATGGCTTTCTTAGGTCTTCAACTTCCAGTCCAGTGTCCTCTCTGAGCACATCAATGTAGGTTTGTACTGGTCTTCCCCTGCCTCTCCATACACGTGAAGGTGTCAATAACGGAAGTTTGGAGACAAGTTCATTTGTAGATACAAAGTTTCAATGAGTGTAATATTGACATTCTCTCTCTCTCTCTCTCTCAATTTCTTGGTACAGATGGGGAATTCTACCTAATAGAAAGTGATCCAGACTACTACTTCTACATCAATATATGCGCTGATATGACTGCCTTTGCTAATTGTGAGGGTATGGCAGTTTGCCAGGTAGCCAGGCTTAATACTGTAGTGGGTACTTCAGCAGGGCGCAACAGTAATCATGAATTAAGGTATGCTATGAGATATAGGGGGATGGATGGATGGGTGGATGGGTGGGTGGGTGGGTGGATGGATGGATGGATGGGTGGGTGGATGGATGGATGGATGAATGGATGGATGGATGGATGAATGGATGGATGGATGGATGGATGGATGGATGGATGGATGGAAGGAATATATATGGATGAATAGATGGAAGAATGATTAGATTGAAGGATAGATAGATGGATGAATACATGGACAGAAGGATGACAGACTAACTGACAGGCAGAATAATGGATGGTTGGATGGATGGGTTGGTGGATGAATAGATGGAGAAATGGATGGAAGGATGGATGGATGGATGAGTGAATGGATGGATCGATTGATAACAAGATGGAAGGCCGAATGAATGGATTGATTGGTGAGTGGATGGGCAGATCGATGGTATAACATCTTGCATTCCATTTCCTAATGAAAAGTTGATGGGTGTATACCGGTAAGTAATAGAGAAGTTACCAGCAAAACAATTTACTTTCATGTACCTTATCTTTCACTCAGGTATTCCGATGGAGAACTGTCCCTTATCTACAAAGGTGGGGATGTGTGTAATCATAACAAGTTTCAGAGGACCTCTGTGATCTCTTTTCAATGCAATAAAACCAAAGGTTAGTACAGTGCCCTTAATGCAGCCGTGTTCAATACTGCCAGTAAAGATATCTCTTTTCTGTTTCCTATATTGTTTTTTTTATTCATTTCATTAAAGTCCCTCTAAAAGTGTTGGGAGCCTGCCAAAATTTGATGGCTAAATTTCACTTAAATTGTATCATAATAAGTCATTTAAGACACATTTCTGCAAGGATTTTCAAAACAAATGTGTTTGAAGTCAAATATTGATGAAAGAACACCAAATTTAGGTTTTCTGCATGCAGCAGAAAACACAAATTACCGGTATGTATTCTTTTATCAATATTTGTCTTCAAACACATTTTTTTTTTTTTGGGGGGGGGGGGAATCTTTGCAGAAGTATTTCTTAAATGACATCCTTTTTCACATTATGATACAACTTAAGTGAAATTTTGCCATCAAATTGTTGGTGAATTTGGGGCTCCCAACACTTTAGAGGGGCTTTAACTCATAGCCTGCCATGAGGCTGCATGCACGCTACCTATTGAGTGCCATGTGCGTGCAAGGGCGCTTTCGTAATAGTAGTTATTGTTCATGTTCGTTGGGCTGTGCTGTGTGTTTTGCACTCGCCTTTCATAGAACCATCGCGTTAATCAGATTATCTCCAAAACAACCTGGCACAGTGGGGATTAGCCCTGTGGCACGATAAGAGTTAAGAGATAATTTGGATTTTAGCAACTATTGTTAACCTTTTCATGCACTGTAAAGCCATTATCGACCTGTCTTTGAAAACCCATCTTTCCCACTCATTGGGTAGTTCAGAATCTTCAAACACAAATGCAAGCAGTAAATTGATTACCTTATGATTATTTTTCTAATTAACTATAGAACGCCATTTACTTGCAATTATTCAATTCTTTTTTATGTTTCAGATCTTGGTCAGCCAGAGTTTGTAACCGAGACAGAGTGTACCTACTTCTTCCAATGGCAGACCAAGTACGCCTGCATGGCAGACGCTCCCTCGCCCACATCCTGCAGGCTGGCCAACGGCAAACAGCGCTATGACCTTTCATCCCTGGCTAGGAAAACCGGTTCTAACTGGCTTGTACTGGATGGGAGGCACTCTCACTCAGAGACAACCGAGAGCGAGTACTTCATCAATGTCTGCTCTGAAGTCGTACAAGGGGATGCGGCCTCAGAGGGATGTCCTCAAGGATCTTCGGCCTGCGTTGTAGGTGAGGCCTTTGCTCTGTTCATTCTGCTTCATCTGCTCAGCTAGCTGCTGGGTTTGACTAACAGGCGTTGGTGTGTTAATGACCCACTGAAATTCAGAATCTCTGAAATTCAGAATAACCTGCATATTTTAATAACCCTTTCATCAAGAGATCAAGCAGAACCCCTTGTGTTAGTAATGTCATCTTTACTTTTTCAATATTTTTTTACATTATCCTTAGATTAGACTCGCAATATGAACATACAAGTCAGTTTAAAGATCTTGAGGCACTTAGAGCCCTGTGCTAATTTCCTTTTACAATGCTCTTATTTTCTTGTGAAGTCTTCTGTACCTCTTGGAGGCCCGAGTGCTGGGGCTGCATTGGAACAGAGGATTTTTTTGCTCAACCAGCGGAAAGAGAAGGAGTTTTGTTTTCATTTAAGGGAAATATTCAAGAATTATACCATTGTTTGTTTGTTTTTCTTAGATACTGTTGGCACCACAAAGACAGGGAAAAGCCTTGGTAAATATTTGACATCTCCAGTCTTGCAGAATAATCTTATCACCATGAGTTACACCGAGGGAGATGTATGCAAAGGCACCACCAAAAAACGAACTGATATCACCTTTCTATGTAGTCCAGGTGAGTATCAAAAGTGTAGTCAATCCCTTTCAAACTGCAGTGAAGATATACATGATACAGTGTCTTTCTTTGGTGTCGATTTATGTAGGCTTGTTCATATAAACCGCTGCGAAAAAGCCACCCAATTTTTTGTACGCGTAAATAAATTGCAAGTGGGCGCGCGAAGAACTTAGCTTCATCACTGAGCCCTGTGTTACAAGATACAGAATTGTGAAGCTTATTACACGTCGCGTCATAAAATAAATGCTGTGGTTTTGTTGTGTCATATCTGAACAATCTTTTTCTAATGATATGTAAAGTCCCTTCTTTTCTTGTTTATTTTGTTGTTGTCGTTTGCCAGATATCGTTTAGGAAAAAACTTCAATCAGTGACAACAAGATCATAGAAGGATTTTTAAATGTTAAATGCGAAGCCAATTTAAAGATCTTAATTCTCTCTGGGGATTAGAAAAAGTTTTGAAAAACAACAAAAATGGCCTGAAATTGGGCACAAAAATGTTCTGTTTACTCATCTAAATATTATATATACCGTATTTGCCGGCGATAATGCCGCTGTGTTTTTGGAAGAAAAAATATAAAAAAGTCGGGGTGCGGCCTTTTACGCTACAACACAAAATGCAGCGGTCAAAACAGCACGTCCATTTGAACATGTGGGACTATGAACGAAAGGATGACTATACAATGGTACAGGACAATTTTAGAATAACTCATATACTGCAAGTCCTCTAATCAATTGCAAAATTGCACTCTCCCATCTCTTATGTACCTAGTTGCGACTGATATTAATCACAAGTGTTTATAAGACGCGGCCTTGATCAAAATTATTTTTGACTGCTTACTCAATTTCTGTCAGGTGACTTGGAGAGCGCTCCCATCCTTGTGCGGAAATCAGACGATGGCTGTCAGTATGATATGGAGTGGCATACAGCGGCAGCTTGTCCTCTGGCCAGTAAATGGGGAACAGACTGTAGGGTGTTTGATGATGATGCAGGTTGGTCTCACAGTTTATACCTCTTCATACCTTTTCTCACATCCTCCATTCAATGTTACTTCTTGAATCCAGGGCCCCGTCTCCAATACAAACAGTTACAATTGATCCAAATCAATTGCAAGTCCTCCAATTAATCGCAAATGTGTAGTATCCTTTCTCGTATGTACATACATGTAGTTGCGATTGATGTCAATCGCAAATAAGCTACGATTGATATCAACTCTTTGTAAGAGGGGGCCCCAGGAATGTTATGTTGTTTTCTTCTTCTAGAAACCAGTAGTCTGTTCCAATTTTTTGCCCAGTTCTCCAGTCTGTCATCTCTACCTCTGTCCCCCATTATTTATTTCTCTTTGTTCTCTGTTTTCTACATGAATTCACCTTTTCTCTCTGATTCTCTCTGTTTGTCTCTGTCCTGCTACCCCTCCCCACATCTCTCTTTTCATGAATGCACTTCCCTACATTCAATTTACTTCTTTCTGTACTTGCCATGGTTATTCTTGCTTTGTTTTGATAGATCTTTAAAGAGAAAAATGTTGTATTACTATTAGCCCCACCCCCTCCTTGACTATTTTCAATACTATTTTGCTTCTGCCCCTTATTAGTAGTAACTTGATCTCTTTTGTAACTTTCTATATTTCACTTCGGAAAGATTTCCTTTTGCGACAGCCACCTAAAATCTAACCCTTACCCAAACCCTAACCCTATCCATAACCCTATTTTATCATGTTTTATGTATCATATTATTATTAGATATATCATTCTTAGCTGTACCCATATTCATATTTTTTTTTATAATTTGGATGGCTGTCGTAAAAGGAAATCTTCCAATCACTTCATTTTTCTTTCAGGCGTGTCATTTGATCTGAGTCCTCTGAAGAAAGCAGACGGACATTACAAAGTTTCTGTTGGAGAATATGATTACTACATCAACGTCTGCAGTGATATCAAACTGAGTCCATGTAACGATGCGAGCCATACCCTGCCACATCCCGCAGCCTGCCAGGCCAGAAAAGATGCGTAAGTTTGTCTGGTGTAGTGGTTTTTCCTTGTGACTCTTAACTACAGTCAAAGCTGTCTGTAATCACCACCCAAGGGAAATACATAAAGTGGTCTTTGTAGACAGGTTCCTTTGGTACATGTTTCAATGAGAAACCATTTTCAAGGGAAACAACAAAATGTGGTCTTTGTAAACAGGGGGTCTCTAAAGCAGGTTTGACTGTATATGATTTTGAGTGCGTGTCTCAGCCCTATATTTACTATCCAGCAAATCCATATCCTAATGAACAGGCTAGGAAGGATCAACAGGGAAAGAAAACCATATTGTGCTTGATACTAGTCTGATCTTAAGAAAAAAAAAAAAAGAAGAAGATTCCTGGAGCATGCATTGAGTAGTCTATATCCCACCTGTTATTGATCCTATAACAAAATCTTCATTTTATGCTTAGAAGAGAAATTGGACAAGGCATTTTATTTCATATTTTGTTTTTCTTAACCCTGATGTAGTCAGAAATAATTTGTATTCTTTGAGCTCTAGATATAGTTTAATGCATTGGATAATATACTTTCATAGATATTTGGTGAACAAAAGTTGATTTACTGTTCATTGTTGGTTGTGACCTGTTGCCGTTTAAGAAGAAAAGTCTCAACACATTGTCCAACCACTGAATTCTTGAGTGGGGGTGGGGGGGGGGGGGGGGGGTGGGAGCATTTAAAAAAAGCATTTATTGTAACACAAATTTTAATTTTTGTTTCAGGAGTGGTGTATCGTACGTCCTTGGGCAGACCAACACATCCCTAGGTTACTTTGACGGTATCATCAAGCTGACCTACCTCAACGGCAAACCATACAACTCAAATGGTGGAACTGTCACAGCAAGAATGGTATGGAAGTTTATACAGTGAAACCTATCTATAAAGACCACCAAAAGGAGACAAGAGAAGTGGCTTTTATAGGCAGGTGGTCTTTATATACAGGTGCCTATAGTACATGTATCAATGAGAAACCAATTTCAGGGGGGGGGGAAATGTGGTCTTTGTAGACAGGTGGTCTTACTCTTTGTAGACAGGGGTCACTAAAGCAGGTTTGACTGTACATTTATATTACCAGTTTAAAGATGTGTGAGTGATGAAACTGTTGGTATAATTGCATACTTGCACATGTACGATTGGAAGTATGTTGTATAGGATATTTCTACATCCTGTTTAAATGCTCTACAGTATAATCTTAATTTTATAAATTCTTACATTCCATCTAGATCTTTTCGCTGTAGAAACTATGGATTTCTTGTTTTTCCTGAGCTTAATACTATTTGGGAAAGAGAACATTTGCTCATGCAGTGCCTTCGCTGTTGAATGCTCTCCCTTAAGAAATTCAAAATAACGTATCAGTTGAAGTGTTAAAAAAAGAATTTTAAAACATATCTGTTTAATTCTGCATTTATTAGTAATTGTTCTCTTTCATTTTCATATGTTCTATCTTACTCCTAATTCTTTTGATTACAATGCAGATGCTTTAGTGTTTTAATTCATTTTTGTTTACCGGTACAAGTGTGCCTTTAGTATTTGATTTCAAGTGGATTTGGTGCCTTACAAATCTCATATATATTATCATTATTATACCAATTCGAAATAATATCTTCATAAGAGTAGATTGTGTTATGAAGCATAAGATACTTTTGTTATATCATAAAGATTTCAGGAAAAGGGATATGTTTGAATTCTATCCAGCGAATTCAGAACTTAATGAAAAAGGTAATCGCAGATGTTATCTGTATGCTTAACAGGCCATTTTTTCTATGAAGTTTTAATTTGTTACACCTCCAGACTGAGATCGCCTTTTTGTGTGACCCGGAAGCGGGCGTCGGCACCCCGCAATTCTTCCAGGAGAACAACGCCACCTATTTCTTCCGATGGAACACCAAGTACGCTTGCCCACAGCCCCCCATCGAGTGTGTAGTGACTGACGAAGCTAACAGTGAACAGTATGACCTCTCAAGGTGGGTATGACCATAGAAAGAGAAGCCTTTGCTAATAGACCAGGGGGTGTTTCACAAAGATCTTAAGTTGAACTTATCTCTAAGTTGGACTTAGAAATTATGGAAAGCCGTTAGCTTCTTTGAAAATATTTTGTAAAAGTTATTTTGAAAGGCATAAAATGTTGATTCAAATCATTCATATTTTCTATCATCAAGGAGATTTAATATTCTGGATGTGGAATTTATAAAAAGTCTAAAATACTTGAATTTCTGCTTTTGAATATATTTCATTTTAAGGCTCCAATGGCTGTCCATAATTTCAAAGTCCAAATTAGTGTTAAGTTCTACTTAAGATCTTTGTGAAACACCCCCCTGTTCGTAGATACAATCTGCCCATTCGCAGATAAAGGTCACTTGTACAAAATTATAAAACCCACTGAGACTAATACTGGATACATGCTCGCGAAAGTTCCGTAATCATTATCCATGCATGCACCTGTGATGCATTCTGTTGAACACAGGTGGAAGTAATCCTTTTAAGAGGGCAAATAAAGAATCACCTCCATGACTTTAGCTGTGATTATTCCGAAAGGCACAAAGTGGGTTTTATCTATGTTTAAAAAATCTGTAGATATTTGGGGTCATCCGAGCCATGTGCTAACTACGAACTGGTCTATTTTGTAGGAAAACTACTTCTGCATACCGCAAAATACTTTTGCCGGTTGAACACCACATACGCTTTGAGTGTGTGGCGGCTGAAGAAGCTGATAGGGAACAATCTTACCTTTCCAGGGTAACATGACTTCAGAAACAGAAGCTTTTGCAAATTGTTGAACGGCTTTTCCGCAGCAAAAAACCCCAAAGCGTTTGTGAATTGCAAAATCCTTCTGCTTATGGAACACCAAATATGCTTTCCAAATGGCAGCCCATGCATTGACGAAGCAGACAGAGAAATACAACCATTTTAAGTCAGTCCGACTGCCACTACCGGGATGCTTATGACATGAAACTTTCGTGAATAAAGTTGTGTTTCTGCAAGAAACTTTGCTAATTGTAAACAATTGTGTTGTGGTTCAATTATTTAATTATTTTGGTGAATTTGGGAAGTTTCCACCCTGTGAAAATTTCTGGTTTCTTAATACACCCATTTTGATAATTTATGAAAAAATGATTGTTTCTGCATATTTTTTATTCAGAAATGAATTGAAATTTGTACTGAAAACCAAAAGAAATACTGTATGAAATTTTCAAATTTTGCCATTTTACAGTCTTTCAAAAGCTTTAGAGGAGGAGAACTGGTCTTTCGTGGATGAGAGGGACGTGGCAAATCGTAAGAAGTACTACATCAATGTCTGCCGGCCCATCAATCCTCATGCTGACTGTGGAGCCTTTGCTGGGGTCTGCCAAACAGGATTTACAACAAGCGATGTGAGTATGAAGACAAGGACCAATGTTTCTCTTAAAGCAGGACTGCACTATTTGTAGCTACTTGTGCCTTCTATATAGCAAACAATGCCTAAGCGGTGACCATTGGTCTCCCATAACCACCTGTCAGTGACCTCTCTGGGAGGTCTAATCCCTCCTGGCCAAACTAGTGTTGACAGACTTTAATCTGTGTGAAGCTTTGAACATTACATACTCTTGCTGCACCAGCAAAAGTTATACTGTGCTACTGCAAGATAACACACAATTGTGATAAACTAATGTTAGTATATTTACTGAGCACTGAGAAACAGCACTGAAAAACAGTTGGTGTATTCTTAATCTGTTTTTCTTATTGAATAGGGTTATTACATTTATGATAATAATGTCATCAGTTCTAAAAAATATCATGTGAAGTCTTGCTAATGAAAAATATATAGCTACATATATATATACATGTATATATATATATATATATATATATATATATATATATATATAGGTACATATCTTGTGATATTTACTGATGTGAACAACAAGATTTATTTCATCATCTATTTTGCTCTGACAAAGAATGAAACTAGAAATGAATTATAATAAACATTGTCAGTTTTAAGGGGTGATTAAGAGTTACCTCTTGAACCCTTCACAACCAAAACATTCCTTCATAGGTTATGCTATATATCATTAATTGCATATATTTTATCTTTTATAGCAACAAACATCAGAGACTGCCTTGATACCAAACTTAGGTGTCCCCAAATCACCTCCCACGATAGAAAGCAGCGGCCATCTTTTGTTGACGTACCAGAATGGCAGCGATTGTGGGGAAAACAAACAGATTACCAGCCACATACACTTTGCCTGTAACAAAGGAACACTTGTAAGTTGGCAGTCTTAGTTTTGCTTGATAACAAGATTTTAAAGATTCCTTTAATTTCACGTTAAACACATGTGACCTTATATTTTCTTTACATTTTCCTCATGCACATAAAGATATTTTTTTCCTTGTTTGACAGCACACATATCAAACATCAATAGTTTCCCATAATGAGATATGAAGCATAATAATAATGCCTGGGGCGGATCTAGGGGGGGGGGGGGTTTCAGGGGTTTACCCCCCCCCCCCCCCCCCCCCCCCCCCTGGGCGGCTAAGTGAAGAAGAAAAAAGGTAGAAAAAAGAGGAAAAAAGAAGAAGAAAAAAAAGTAAAATAGTAAAACGGCATGATTTTTGGAAAATCCTGGATCCGCCACTGGGTCAAACCACCCCCTTGGCAAAAAGCTAGATCCGCCCCTGAATGCTATAATGTAGACTCATTTGTGTCTTTCTGTATTTGGCCTTTTTCGTCCTAAGCGGAGTCGCAAGTTTATTAGTGTGCCCATCTGACAACTTTATAAGTGTGCCCATCTGACAACTTTATAAGTGTGCCCATCTGACAACTATATTTTACATGTACATTGTAAATAATCTTATTTGATGTAATGAATAGTTCTATATACTGTTTCTCACATAGTGTAAATTTATTGCCAAAAGCAAATTTAATATGTTCCCCACATCTTAAGTTAACTTAATAAACGAAAGTTAAGAAGCCAGTCATTATTTTGTCTTCTTTAAAAAAAAAATATTCACATTATGATTCTATACAGGCCAGCACCCCTCGATTGCTAGAAGTGGTAGATTCCTGCACATACAGTTTCCTATGGGAGACAGAGGCGGCCTGTCCCATTGGTGTGTCAACGGGGGAGAATTGCACAGTGAGGGACTCCAATTCAGATTATGTCTTCAACCTGCAGCCCCTCATTAAACAAGAAGGATATCAAGTGTTTGGCCCAACCAATGAAGTATTCAAGGTATGTTATCTAAAGTTTATGTATTCTACACTCCGAAGCCATGGTATAAATTGGTTTGTAATTTGTTTCAAATTCAAAGAGAAAGTGAACTTCATTCAAGGCTCCTCTTGCGGTCAACAGCAATCCAACCTTTGTAACAAGGTGAATTACATACATACATACATATTGATATTTATATAGCGCCTTTACATAAACGTGCTCAAGGCGCTTTACATTAGTAAATAAAAACAAAATAATTATATGCTCTCCAAGTGCATTACACTCTAAATTCATGTTTGTTTGTTTTACGTGACTGCTATGGAAGCAGATGTTTGCTTGTAAGTAACTAACCAGGGAACCACCGGCTTTTAAGTCCTCTCCAAGGGACTTGGTAATAAAGATTGATGCGTTACCAAAGGGCACTAGTGCATCCACTTGGTTTTGAACCCGAGACCACTGCTCTACAGACTGAGCCATGGCGCCTTCTGCAAATGTATGTGAAGAAGCAAATTACAAACATATTGGTGAAATTTAAAAGAAATTAAAGAAATACTTAGAAGTAATGAATGTTTGAATGTTGCAATCACTAATTCAATAGGAATTCCAGATTGGGGAATTGGTTATTCGTCTATGGACATGATTGGGATTGCGACAAATATCATTCCAAAGTTTATTCCATCATCAGTTCTCCTGTTGTCCTTTTAAACAGCAACATTGAAATTAACGCTTATTTTTCTTCCATCTATCAGTATTCCTGTTATTCTTCCTTCTAACCAATAACATTGAAATCTTGACAGCTCAATGTGTGTGGAGCAGTCCCAGTCCCATCATGCCCTGCTGGTTCAGGTTCATGTCTGTCGCCCACCTTGTCGCTAGGCAGCGCATCGTCCACGCTCATCTTCTCAGACGAAGGTCTCTTGACCCTGGAGTATACAGGAGGGACCTTTAACCCACAGACAGGTCAGTTTACCATTTTCAGACTCTGAGTTCTTGTTACAGGAAAAAAAATGTTTGTAGTTGAGTTGTTTAATCATGTGACAAGAGATGCAGAGGTCATGGATTCGATCTGCTACACATGCTACTCTCCAGCCGGGTGTAAATGGCTACCCAGTGCATGTATGTTGTAGGTTGTGGTTAGGTCATTATTCTCATTATAATGGTTGGGCATTGATTGGAGAATTAGAAAATGCCCTGACTCGATATTTACATCTTTAAAAAAAATTGTAATGCATATATGTATATATACATAAACAGTACTGTCTAGTATTTCAAGATTTTTGGTACATTATGCACAGACAATAAGATTCAAAATAAATCCTAAAACTTTTATTATGAAATGGAATGTTGTACCATCTGTATATAATAAAATTACAAATTTGTTATGACAAAAGAAATAGCCTTACTAAATTTGCAACATTGATGGTGATTTGTCATTGAATATTTCTCCAACTCCATTGATTTCAGCTCAATATCCCTCGACGGTGATATCCTTCCTCTGTCGACGCAATGCCTCCCAGACCTCCCCCAGTCCCGTCTTCGTCCGTCAGGAGGGGTCGCGCTACATCTTCAACTTTGAGACTCCGCTCGCTTGTCTCCCTGAGTCTGTGGACTGCCTTATCTCTGACAGCAATGGAAACCAGTACGACCTTTCACCCCTGGCAAAGGATTCTGGGAACTGGGAGGCGGTAGACACGAGGCAAAACTACAACGGGTTGAGCTACCATATCAATGTGTGCAGGCCGATTAACAAAGGGGATCCAGCTACTAGTTCATGCCCAGGTAAGGCATAAAAAAAAAGATGTTGTATTGCACTTTGCGACCGACCCAAAAATCTTGCAATTTACGGTCGGCTTTTAAAAAAAAAGTTTGTTTTTGTTGAAAAAATAATAAATAAAAATATATGTATGGAAGCAAAAAATAAGAAATATCAACCTAAAAAGGGAGAAAAAAAAAAAAAAAAAAAATTCTGACCGACCAACCCATGTTTTGGCACCTTAAGGGCAATAAAACATCTTTTTGTTAGGCCTAATAAAGTAATTGATGATGTTTAGGATAGATTGTAAATCACAGTATTCATGTTGTATGATAATATATACTTATATATATTATTCGTCCTATATTGGTAAGGTATGAATGTGCTGCTATCTAGAATAACATTTGCTTTTACCAGCATTCCAGCAGAAATGGGCATTTAAAATCATTACATTTTTTCCAAACTCTCTCAATTCTAATTCTCTCATTTCCAAGGTGGACCGATTGGTGCATGCCAGATCAGTGAAAGTGACAACAGTGCATACAACCTGGGCTACGTTCAAGCTATGCCCGAAGCCGCCACAGATGGCGCTCTCAGCCTGCGTTACGTGAACGGGGACATCTGCCACGCCAAGTTCCACCGCAGCACTCGTATCAACTTTGAATGCTCCGATACTCCAGTAAGTACATCATACATACACATGTATAATGTACATGCATATTTTGTTAAAAAAAACTACATTTTTCTAAAGCAACAGGAAACACCTGGGACCCATTTCACAAGACTTGTCATCAGTGACAAATGACAGTCTTTTGTTAAAAGCTACTGAAATCCCTGCTTCTGATTGGTTATCAGCAGATTTGTCACTGATTTTTGTCATTTGTCATTGAAAAAAGGCTTTGTGAAATGTCCCCCTGTTCAATAATTTCTTGTAATTACTTTAGGAAGATGAAGTAGATTCATGTTGTGGGCTTGTAGGAATAAAGAGTTGAAGGAACAAATCCATGTTCAGCTGCAAGCAGAAAGTATTTACTTGTCTTGTTGCTCACAAAGTTTTTTGGTATTGGTTTACCTGTGTCACCTGATTATTGACTTCAGCAAACTTCTCTGTGCGAAGTTGCAACAACTGGAATTCCTTACCAGACTCAGCAGTCAGAGCAACGAGTGTAAATCAGTTCAAATCCATCCTTGGGAAATATTGGTACAGCCACCCCCTTAAGTACAGTCCATACCAGAGAGATAGCATTACCTGGAGGGGCAAATAAGTTTATCTTTACGCTTCAACATCAAAGTAAACATCAAAGAAAACATCTCCACCTTACACATATTACACCTGAATGTCATATCAAGGGGTCAGTGACACAAAGACGTAACTCCATTTTGGCCATTTTGAGAAACAGTGGTTCATGTGTCACAGAGCACTTGGGCCTTATTAAGGAGTTAAGTCTATGTTTCACTAGCCATTTTCACTAGCCATTGACTACAATGGAGTGTTGGGTGGAGTTAAGTCTTTGTGTTTCCTGGAAAGCACACATTTTTCTGAACATTTTGATATCAAATACTCATTTTGGCAAAATATGGAGTTACGTCTTTGTGTGTCTAAACCCTCAATATTTTCATAGTCACATGGTTCATTCCTCCTCACACCGTTATCTCAAACTCTTTGTGTTGCAGGGGTCACCTGTGTTCCAGACTGAGTCTGCAGAGTGTGAGTACCTCTTCTCATGGGAAACACCAGCAGCCTGTCCATTGAAAGTGAGTACGTTATTACAGTGAAGAAATTATCACCACTCTCCATGTGAACTTTGGTTATGGTGGGGTGGAAGGGGAGGGGACGGGGATGTTTTATGAATGAAGATCAAAGATTTTCTTGCTGTGGAAACAATGATACATGACAGAGAGAGGTACTAGTGTGTCAAAACTTCAAGAATACTGACATTTCTCTAGACAGTTGTCTTACAATCAAGGCTTGCCATACTATTAAACTTTGTGTATTTAATGACTCTTTTGAATAATTGTTTGAATAATTTGAATGTTATTATGCCTCCGTTACGAAGTAGCCGGAGGCATTATGTTTTCGGGTTGTCCGTCCGTCCGTCCGTACGTCCGTACGTCCGTCCGTCCGTCCGTACGTCCCGTTCTCGTGATCGCGTTATCTGAAGAACCGATTGATGGATTCCTGCCAAACTTTGGTCATGTATGTTACTTGCAGAGCCGATGAACTGATTAGATTTTGGGGTCACGAGGTCAAAGGTCAAAGGTCACAGGGCTCATTATGTATGCAAAAACAGCTCGTGATCGCGTTATCTGAAGAACCGATTGATGGATTCCTGCCAAACTTTGGTCTTGTATGTATCTTGCAGAGCCGATGAACTGATTAGATTTTGGGGTCACAAGGTCAAAGGTCACAGGTCACAGGGCTCATTAGGTATGCAAAAAGAGCTCGTGATCACATTATCTCAAGAACCGATCGATGGATTCCTGCCAAACTTTGGTCATGTATGTATCTTGCAGAGCCGATGAACTGAATAGATTTTGGGGTCACGAGGTCAAAGGTCAAGGGTCACAGGGCTCATTATGTATGCAAAAATAGCTTGTGATCGCATTCTCATTAGAACAGATTGATGGATTCCTGCCAAATTTCGATCATGTATGTATCTTGCAGAGCCAATGAACTGAGTAGATTCATGGGTCATGAGGTCAAAGGTCATGGGCTCATTATGTATCCAAAAAAAACTTGTGAACGCATTCTCATTAGAACTGACAGATGGATTACTATTTAACTCAGGACATCTTGCAGAGCCAATGAACTGAGTAGATTTTAGGGTCATCAGGTCAAAGATCAAAGGGTCATATATGTATATGAGAAATTGCTTGTAATCACGATATTCTGAGAACCTCTTAATGGATTACAATTGAACTTGAATTTGAAAAATTTCTTCTGTTTTGGTTTGTAAAATTGCTCTATGACGGAGGCATCATTTTCGACTGCGTGCAGTCGAAGTTCCATCTAGTTTGATATGTTTCATACTGCAACAGATAAGAATTGAAAAGTTTGTTGACATATATAATAATAGATGTCATCAAAATTGAAAAAAAATGCAAGGAAATTACTATTAGGATTCATTGAATATTTTTGTTATGCTATTAATACTGTCACGAAATTGGTTTCATTTCGTAAATAGCTCTTTCGGCGTAGATGGCGTAATTCAAGTTAAATAAACGATGCTATGGTCACGTGTCAATTTCAAGAATGTTTGATCGTGCATGTTTTCGACAGTTTTAGTCTAATTACTTTTCTACCATGAGTAATTACTTATTTTCTTTTGTTTAGTTTTATAGATTAAAACTATTGCTTTCATTTGATATATGGTTTGTTTCAATCTGATATTGGAAAGTGAAGTTATATCAATGTTTATGTAATTCTTGGAAACCTAACGAGAATAACAAATATTTAAGAAATGTCTATATAAATCAAGTGTCATTCGTGCAGACGAGTTTCCTGTCATAGTCTACATAATTGCCGTCGCCCACTGGGCACACTTACACTGTAAGGCAATTAGGCTATGTTTGGATATTTGCCCAATAAAGTATTGCGTGCAACGAAATGATTGAGATGATCGTTTGCATGTCTTTCCATGAGGAAGCCTAAGATTGATTTCTGATCTTAGGTGACGACCATGGTTAGGATCTAGGTTGTGTTTGTTGGGTCTTTTGCGTTCTAGCATTAGACGATACCAGGGATTGCTCTTTCGGTGGTCTGGAGTAGACGGCTGGTAGGGACTTAACTGCGTAGCAGAGCCAGTGGCATGGTCGAGTAAGCTGACTGTACAAAGACAGACGGTCTGGTTGTTTGAAGGTGCATGCATGAAGCAAACTGGTGCGGCCAATGGAAGTTGCATGCACAAGCAGACTGGTATAGACGTCTGAAAGGTGCATGAAGCAAACTGGTGCGGCCAATTGGAGTTGCATGCACAAGCAGACTAGTATAGACGTTTGAAAGGTGCAGAAGCGGACTGGTTTAGTCGGCTGGTTGTACACGACGGTACAAGGTTGGTAGAAGACGGTGGTGAAGTACAGACCAGTAAACGGTCTGGTAGGTTCGACTGGACGGTGGTCGAGAGGTGGTGCAAGGTCAACGGGGCAGTATATCTCTGCCAAACGGATCCACGGCAAAATTGGTACCGGACTAGGAAAACATACCAGCAGAAGGCATCCTGACAAGATAAGCTGCTGGGGAGTATTCGACAGAGCTCTGGTTTCGTTACAATACATTAGAGGGCTCACAGTCACAATTCGTTCTACTAATCTCTTCTTTTTCAGAGAGTGACCGGTCAAGGGAACTGCACAGTCCGGGTACCTGAATTTGGTTTCCAGTTCAACTTGTCCTCGCTCTACAACAAAACCCACGACTACACAGTGACCTCCACAGAGCATGAATACACCATCAACGTCTGCGGCCCTCTATCAACCACGATGGGAGAGTGTGCCTCGTCCGATGGGGTCGCGGCGTGTCAGAAGCTGCAAGATGGAACCTACAAGAACGCAGGTGAGTTTTCAAAGCTGTGGATGGTGATGATGATTGCTCCTCTTGGCTGAAAACGTGTCGTGTCATAGATCCATAAATGCTCAAGTTTTTGATACTTGTTCATGTATACCTTTTGGTTATACATGAACATGTAGTAAAAAGAAACGCGAGGACTCTATTTCTGAGTAATTCTTTTAGAATGATACTGAGGAAATTATTTGCTTTTCTAGTATACAAATTTGAAGATTTGATTTAGAAATATCCAAAATCAAATATATTGTGAGAACGTAAATGCACAATGTATATATAGGAAAAAAGCGGTACTGCACTACTTATAGCTACTTGCGCCCTCCATATAGCAAACAGTGCCTAAGCGGTACCTGTTGGTCCCCCATAGTCCCCTTTATCTTATGTTAATTGAGAGCTGCGAGTGAGGTCTTATCCCTCTTGGCTAAAGTAGTGCAGACAATAGCACAGAATCTGAAATATGACATCTTGAGCAGGCATTTAACTTTGAGGGGAAGGGGTAAGGTGCCCCATATGTTAGTAGAAAACTTATTTTCCTGCTCTGAACACAGCTTTTTAATGTAGGGATGAGACTTCCACAGCACTCAATACCAAATCGATAAGATTTTTGATCAGAATTTGAACAAAGGACATAAAACCAATAACCAATTTTCTTTTATTTTTGCAGGTGTTTTCAACAAGAACCTGACATACGCCAATGGAGTACTCAAGCTGAACTACACGACCGGTTCAGTATGTCATACTGTCTATAAGAGATCAACAGCCATCAACTTCTACTGTGATGAAAATGTGATTGGTGAGTCTCTACTTCCCGGCCCTATACGATGAAATAGTTATCAATATCAAGTTACAAGGATTGATATGAAAATCATTCTACAGTGAAACATGTATATAAAGACCACTCAATCGGTCTTTATAAGCAGGTTGTCTTTATGTACAGGTTCTTTTAAGACATGCTCCAATACCAAAAGGGAACAGATAATGTGGTCTCTATAGACAGGTGATCTTTCTAAGGAGATGGTCGCTATTAAAAGCAGTTGGTGAAGTTTTCAGAACAAGTTTTTAGAAATGGGGAAAATTATGGATGAATTATCAAAAAAAATACTTTGGAAAGCACTCACATTGCTTACTTTAGGCTTCAGCTTATAGGTCATAAGTCATGTAGATGCTCTAGAGTGCAGGAGAGGGGCAGTATCGTGATTGGCTGTGAACCAAATCATCATCTCAATGTAACTATGCAAATCATGTAAAACAAACTTGTTTTCTTTCCTCGCAGGTAAGGGGGAACCCCACTACATTCAGGAGACCTCTGACTGTACGTATATCTTTGAGTGGGCCACGCCCCTTGCCTGCCCCCCTTTCAAGGTGGTGGAATGCAGCTACCGGGACGGAACCAGTCAGTACGACCTGGCCCCGCTCTCCAAGATGACCGATAACTACAGGGTGAATGCAGCAGGGAATAACCTAGATGGTGATGCCTATTTCATCAATGTCTGCAGGTCGCTGTGGCACAGGCAAGGAGCACAAGGTACGGATTGACGATGGTGGTGGTGGTGGTGGTGGTGGTGGTGGTGGTGGTGGTGGTGGTGGTGGTGGTGGTGGTGGTGGTGGTGGTGGTGGTGGTGGTGGTGGTGGTGGTGGTGGTGGTGGTGGTGGTGGTGGTGGTGGTGGTGGTGGTGGTGGGGGTGGGGGTGGTGGTGATGGTGACAGTGATGATGGCAATGGTGATTATGATATTGTTGATGGTAATTGGGATGATGACGATGATGATTGTTTGTATGTCTGAAAAACAGATAAATGATGCCAAACAGGTGCTGGGGATCATCATGATGATGGATGTGCTGACAAAGGTAGTTGCAGCATTTATGTTAATGACTTACTATTATGTATTTCTTTCAATATTTCAGGAGAGTTTTGTCCAAACAATGCTGCTGCTTGTCTCCAAACTGTTGATTCTACTGGAAAGAAAAGGTAACAGTCTATCTTACAATACAATCTAAAAGACACCCAACCCTCCACCAAAATGTTCAATGTTCAACACTATCATCATTCAAAAAGTGACATTGCGGATGCTAAACTTCAGTTGTCTGTTCCCACTAATTGTGATCAGTTTTGGAAATAAAAAATGCTAGCCAATCTTGATTTTGCTCCTATGAATAATGAAGACATAAATTTTAAACAAAGAACTTAAACATTTTATTATAAATCATATCTACAACTTGTCAAAACTTTGTTGACAGTCACAGAATAAATAGCGACATGACATCATGAAATTTCCACGTGATGTTACAGAGGTTGTTGTAGCAATTCTTGAAGAGATTTTGCTGCGGACAGTAACATTAATGGTAATGACTCATGGCATAAAATCCTACTGTGACTCAAGGAAGCTTCTTCTCTCTCTTTGTATTCTACAGTTACATCAGCTTAGGTGAGGTTGGTCAAGGGCCGACCATGGAGAATGGACATCTTGTTCTTCGCTATGAGTCTGGTGCTACGTGCCCCGATAAGACAGGCAGGAAACGTACCACTGTCATTAACATCCAGTGTGATAAGAATTCAGTGGTGAGTATAATGATAGCTCTATATTTGACTGATAGATTGATTGATTAATTTACTTATTAGTTGATTGATCAGTGGAATGATTGAGAAATTGTCGGTATGGGACAGGCAGGAAACGAACTACAGTCATCAATATTCAGTGTGGAAAGAATTCTTTGGTGAGTATAATGATAACTTTATAGTTGACTAATTGATTGGTTTATTTATATAGTGGTTGATTGATCAGTTAATTAATTGACCAATATTCAGTTTGATTAGAATTCTGTGGTGAGTCCTGCATTGATCACTATGTCAGTCTGTCCATATGTCAATTGAATGTCTGTCTATTCATTTGATGGGTAAGGGTCAGAAGAAGAAATCTTTTTCGCTTGTTTGTTTGATTGTTTGATAGCTTGTGTTAAGGATCAGATTGATGTGAAGAAATTTATTTTAGGGTTTGTACATATGATTCCACAATGCCATTCGACAGAAATGGAATGACACTCATTCATTTATTTATTTATATATTTGAACATCTTTATTCAGGAGAAACATGATCAGAAAAGCTGTTTTTCATCATGGTCCTGATTGAAATACAATTTTAAAAAATACACTACAATGAGTGTATGTAACATTAAAATACATTTAAAAGGTTCAAAAGAGAAAGTTTGTGGTTCACATTTATATAAATATTCACGCACAGTAGTTAAAAGTACATGGTAATTAGATAATACAAAGATACTTCTTTACATTGTAAATATATGAACACGATTGAAACAATTTTATAGATGAGGATCGATAAAATTGAAAGAAATAATAGGTCACTATACTGATAAAGTTTATCGTGTCGAAAGAGCCATTAGTTGAACAAGTGTCATTGAAAGATTTCTCTTTCACATAGCTGCCATATTTTATAATTACTATATCAGTGGTAATAGAATGACTTTAATATTCTTGTTCATGAATATTAATGATAATAATACATTTAATCGATAAAACACCATTTCAAGTGTTACAAACAATATTCTGTTAGATCGAAGAGGAAGTATGTACATGTAAAACTGTTCATCTCAGGAATTTGCAACATCCCCTCATCGAAAATCCCATCCATTGACCTTTAACTATGCCATTGCAGTAAATTTGCATCAGACTCTAGACTCAATAACACAAAACAGTATTTCAATTGACTAACAAAGAAATAAATCTAGGTGTTTTCATTTAATCTGTCTTATATTTCCTATTTTTCAGGGGACCGCACCAATGCTTGACCACGTCGACGGGGACTGTCAATACCATTTCCTATGGTTGAGCAACTATGCATGTGACATTACAGAAGACATTGTGAAACCAAAAGGGGATTGTACTGCTATGAATCCCATATCAGGTGAGAGATGGATGCCTGGATGTAGTGTGGGATGAAAAAGGGAGACTCTGTACAATGTATCCTGTTTCATTTTTCTCCTCTCCAGTTTCCCTTACTCATTTCTTTCCACTTTCTCTCTCTCTCTCTCTCTCTCTCTCTTTTATTGGCTTATCAGTCCTTCTAATCTTCTACCACATTTGTCTTGTTGCCTTCTGTTACTCGTTCTCCTTATATTGTCCTCTAGTCATCCGTTTCAATCTCTTCTCTTGTTTCTCTCTTTTTTTTTCTTTCATTATATCCTTGATTATTCATTGTGAATTGCCATTCATATGTTGTTATATAATATAATTGCATTTTACCAACTCGATTTTTAATGTTATGCATTCGTATGTATAAATCTTTTGTAAATTCAATTTGTTTCAGCCACTGGCTGCTATTTGAATGTATGTTTTTATCAATAAATCATATCAAATCAAATCAAAACAATTATTTCATCTAAAAATGAAAATTGTCTTGATGACTCAATAATGTTGGTGATACCAGTACAGAATCAAGAGTCAATAGTCATGTCATGAGATTTCAAGTTTTGGATGATATAAATGGGTAAACATAAAGGTTGATAATGTTGATGGAAGCTGCAGTATATTCTGTTTATAACCCCTCTGTCTTTTCTCTCTCCTACATATCTTTCAATTCTTCCTACCATGATCTTCATTTATTATTCCTCCCCCCCCCTTGTTTTCCCTTCACTCTCCTTACTCCTCTCAATCTAAATGATCCTCCCACTTCAGAAAACTACCAACAGTCCTTTTCAAGACTACATACACTCAAGAAAGAAAGATTACCGAGAGTCCTTTTCAAGACTACATACACTCAAGAAAGAAAGATTACCGAGAGTCCTTTTCAAGACTACATACACTCAAGAAAGAAAGATTATCGAGAGTCCTTTTCAAGACTACATACACTCAAGAAAGAAAGATTACCAACAGTCCTTTTCAAGACTACATACACTCAAGAAAGAAAGATTACCGAGAGTCCTTTTCAAGACTACATACACTCAAGAAAGAAAGATTATCGAGAGTCCTTTTCAAGACTACATACACTCAAGAAAGAAAGATTACCGAGAGTCCTTTTCAAGACTACATACACTCAAGAAAGAAAGATTACTGAGAGTCCTTTTCAAGACTACATACACTCAAGAAAGAAAGATTACCGAGAGTCCTTTCTAGGTCTCCCCAATTTCCCCCCTCTCTCAATGGGTGCAACCGCAAGCCTACTGTATATTCAGATATCTTATTATACATAATTTGAAGATTAAACAGTATTATTTATATCTTTATCTGGAATTAACATATGAAATAAAATGAAATGTCTTGATGGTTCTCAATTTCCGTATCACAGGGTTCCGTTTTGACTTCAACTCTTTGAAGAAGCAGGCTGGATACACCGTGATGGGCAGTGACAGCCATAAATACGTGATCAATGTTTGTGATGCCCTTGCAAGCTCAGTGTGTGATGGAAGCAATATCGGTACGTTTAAAACTCTCACTGATCCTCCTGTTTCATATTAATCCATTCTGTCTAATTTAACCATTTTTATGCTATTGTTGGTTAATTAATTTTCAAGGTTTGCTATCTGTGTAGACCAACAATTACATCTGTCTTACATGTATGAGACAAACATTGGTACCATTACTTTTACTGTGAACATTTTCTCTTGGCAGATTTTGCATTGTAGTGTTTCTTTACGATAAATGTGTTTTGCTCAGAATGTGTTCAAACGTAGTCTCTACGCTGATGCATTAAAGTTTGTTCATCCTTACATGGTAAATTGAATGCACGATTTACAGATGTGTTTTACATCTCATTGGCTATATGAAATATAGTTTTTCTTCTTCATTATTTTGTTGTTAAAACCCACTGGCATTACTATAACAACATTTTGTTGTGAATGATCACAAGAGAGAGAAAGATAGAGAGAGAAATTCTGATATGATGCATCTTTATCTTAACTGTTCAGACGTATACATTGTTCTTGTACATTTTGATTTGTGTTTTTAAATGTTAATAATAAAGACTTGTAAACCATTTCACCAATGACAGGATCATGCCAAGAGGAACTTGTTGTGCAGGGAAACCACTTCAACGCCGGCGTCTTCAACAAGAATCTTTTCTTTGATGACAGCATCCTCTTCCTGCGCTATGATTTTGGCCATGCCTGCCATAACAACCACTTCAATAGGAGCAGTGTCATCAATTTTGTTTGTCCCCATCAGAAGGATACGGTGGGAGAGCCGGTGTTCATTGCAGAATCGGACGACTGCACGTACTACTTCTCCTGGCACACCTCCCTAGCCTGCGAGAAATTTGTAAGTCACCTTGGAACCTTGAAGTGATGATGATGATGATGATGAAGGTGGTAGTGGTGGTGGTGGTGTTGATGGTGGCGGTGATAGTGGTGATGGTGGTGGTGTTGATGGTAATGGTGATGGTAGTGGTTTTGGTGTTGGTGATGGTGGTGGTAGTGTTTTTAATGGTGGTGTTGATGGTGGTGGTGGTGGTAGTGGTGATGGTGGTGGTGGTGATGGTTCTCGTGTTGATGGTAAAGGTGGTGGTAGTTGTGGTGATGGTGGTGGTAATGATGTTAGTGATTATGATGCTGATGGTGATGATGATCATGATAATTATGGTGGTGATGGTGAAGATAATGGCTATGAAGATAGCGGTGCTGGTAGTGATGATGGCGATGTTGATAATGGTGATATAGATAGAACTCACGACCACATAAAAAGAATCCTGTGTCTGAATTGTTTATTCCCTTGACTTTGTCTAATAGATCCAATGCAGTGTGGTGAATGGGTCAGACACCATCAGCTTGGCACCCCTGATCAACGACCAGGGCTATCATCTTGCCACTACCCTCTTGGGTGACGGCAGCCTGACCTACATCAACCTGTGCCGACCTTTGAACCCTATCCCTGGCCTGACCTGTCACCCCAACTCGGCGGCTTGCCAGGTCAAAGGAGGAGACCCTGTGGTGAGTATCTCAAAGATAGCCACCACATACATGTACATCCAATCCAATCCAGGAAGTTATAAAATGCCAATATCTAGTTGCCGAATCAAAGGTACTGATCAGACTGAAAAACTACCAAAAATGTCTGTTCATGATTCTAATTGGGAAAGACAAAAAAGCAGTGACTAATTGTAAGCCATCTGAAATAGGTATGTCTTTAGTTGTGTTCTGAAAGTGGATAACTGGTGACAAGAGCTCAAGGATTTGGGGAAGACCATTCGACAATCTTGATGCACAGGCTGTAAATGATCGATCACGTAGAAGAGAGTGTGTTTGAGGACTCTCAAGCAGGTATTTAGCTGCAGATCGTAATTATACATGACAACCTTGTTATTAATACCTGGAAAATTCATATGTAGAGCAGGTGTAACACAGTTCTGCAAATATAACAACCTTTGGTCTGGATAAGCAGTACTTGTAATGGATCCTGTGACTAAAATTTCTATTCAAAAACTTTGTTTTGTACTGAATATCTGAGAAAATTACCAGACGGTGATTGCTCTTAAAAACCTGTGATACTCCATTTCAAGCATCATAATTTTCTAAGCACAAAGTACATGTACATGCCTGTTTCTTTTTTGAGAGGTAAACAGTTCACCATGAATAGGGAATAAGAGAACCCCTTTACTGTCATTTTCTGTAACTGAATAATATTTTCATCATTAAGTCTGCATGAGATAACCCTGACATACGTGTATCTCCCCTCTAGAATCTTGGCAGAGTATCGGAGGGACCTAAGATCGGAGCGGACGGCAGACTGAGCATCACATACACACAGGGAGATCATTGCTCCTCAGACGGCACAAAGAACGTCTCATCAGTCATTAAGTTCTTCTGCAAGCAAGGAGTAACTCAGGTAGGAAGTCACTATACATATAGTTGAATAGTATCAACAACAAATTCTCGCTACCCTAAATAGGTACGAAAATCTCGAAATTCGCGAGACGAGGTAATTTTCACTCTCTCGGGTCGTCACTACAACTTCCGGTATAGAGTCCCATCCCGCTGGCGCTAGCGCCTGTGTTCTCCAATGAGACCAAAATTATTCCAGAAAAAGTATTTGGGATAGCCTTTGGCATAACCATCTGGATCAATCTGCTCCTTATCGAAATGTCTCGAACAAAGCCGCGATTTTTTGGTCAAATTCACTTTGTCCTTGCGGCGAATCAAGCGCAGCCATGTCGCTCGTGTTCCAGCTTCGGTGGGAAATTTCACCCAAGTCACGGCCTTCATCCACCCCCATTTTTCAGGGTTCTTACGCTTGGAATCATGAGCCCAGCACTGTGCAGCCTCACAAAAGAAAACCATCGTCACTGATGTCAAAAGACGCAAAAAACAACGAATGAAATGTTCAAATAAACGTTGAAATATTTGCGAAAAAAAAACAAGACCGAGCAGACGACATATTCGGTGCATACACGTTGTGTGGCGACGGCGTTTTACGTTTGCGGTATCGCGCCTAGTAATATAGCGCCTGCACAGGAAGCTGTAATGTCGAAAAGCTATCCCATAATGCAATGCGCGTTTTCAGGATTTTCCCCGGATCTCGGCAGAATCGCTATTTGGGGTAGCGAGAATTGACAACATTGATATTTTTTTCCCATACCGTTACATATTTGGACAAATTGTTATTTATCAAGTACCTTTACAGTGTAAGTGTAGATGAAACTGCAGATATTGCTCTTTCTATATTAAACAAACTAGTAATTTTGGATTTAGCAATGTGATGTTGATATGAGAGATGATGTACGTGTACATTTTGGTAAAAAGTGGTTAAGGACCTATACATTTTTTGTGGTTTTTTAGAGAAATGCACACACTCTGTAGGTTGTGGGGCTTATTAAAGGGTCAAATCCCTTTGTGATATCCTTGATTGATGATTTATTTATTTTACCTGACCGCTTAGAAAGTACACAATGCTAGCATGTAGGCAACTGGTTGACTTTAATGCCCCAAGTTCTCTCCAAAGGACTTGGGAATGAGGATTAATATACTAGTGCATCATCTTGGCTTTGAACCTTGGACCTTCCGCTCGAGAGACCACTGTTCCTCCACTGAACCATCACCCCTCCTCTTTAGGCCTGTCTTCATCAGCTCGCGATTGCCAAATTTCCCGCTATTATAACTATCCTGATCACAAATTATCTAGTTAATTTGCGTCTCCATCAGCCCGAAGTTGCAATTAGCGGGATATGTGGTCGAGATAATCATCCCAAGATATCTTGGCCTAGTTTGCAAAATATCCCGTTATGTGTCCGGCGCGTCTTGATCAACCAGCCCGAAGACTCGCACTATGCGTGAACACTGAGCAAAATATCTTGAGCTCGAGCTTGAGTTTCAAGTTTCGAGGTTGAGTCTCAAGCTGATGAAGACGCGATTTGTAACTTCGGGAATATTTGGCAATCTCGAGTTGATGAAGACATACCTTTTGTCTTGTTCTATCCCACAGGGAACCCCAACCCTGGAGTTCATTGAGGACTGCATCTATCAGTTCACCTGGGGGACCAACGTTGTGTGCCCAGCCACCGCTCCGGAGAGTGACCACGACTGCACCTTCTTCAACACGGCCCTCCAGTACAGATTTGACTTCACTGCTCTCTCTAAGGAAAACCAAGCAGTAAGCATAATAACTATGGTCTTTTCTTTTTCAAATAATCATTAAAGTATTGGCACTAATGTCCTTTGGCAAGGCATTAATCTTCATTTGCCACACTCGACCCAGGTGAGGTAAATGGGTACCTGGCAGGAATTATTTCCTTGAAATGCTGGAGCGCTGTAATGGCAGCTAGGCTAAAGCCAGGGTAATAATAAGTGCGCCTCGGAATATAATTTCTAGATAGACTGCGCTATACAAATGCCTATTATTATTATTGTGCATAGATCTGTTGTAATTTGCTTTTTTCTAAGAGAGATTCTATGACTACAGGGTGTCTTTGACTTCCAAATATCTTCACAAAATGCTCCTACATGTACATGTAAAATATAAGCCCATTGTACCTTGCAATTTTAATTTCTTGAGGAATATTTTCACTTGGTTTTAATTTTTCCTAATGGTTATGTTGTTTTCAAATGTATCCAGTGGAACCTACTTTATACAGTGACCAACTGCTGGGAAAGATCCCCTGAACAGAGTTTTAGATTTAAACATTTATAAAGGAACCTGTACAATTGTAGACATCACCTGCCGATAAAGACTGCTTCTCTTGTATCTCCTGGGCAGTCTTTGTGTATGTGCTGTCTGCAGGTCAAAAAAGTGAAACGGTTAAATTCCAACAGCATTTGAAAGACAATACTTATTTAGAACTACGTTGAAATAAGGGTTTGAAAATGTCTTTAAGTGGGAAAATAATGACCATTATTAGCTGTCAAATCGACATAAGTGATTGCAATCCTCTAAGCAATTCCTCAAGAAATTAAAAAAAGAATAATAGAAAATAGGCAAGAAGAAAAGGAATTAGCGGGGGAGAGAGGCACTTTAACACTTCACTTCAGAAAATGGGACAACTTCCACAGTTAAGGACGGCGAGGCAAATACTTCTTTTTCAGACTCAGACATTTTTTTTTGTTTAAATATATACTTTGGTCTTAAGGAAAAGGAAGAGACAGGATTTCCAACAAATGTGTAGATGTGAATGCTCGGGCAGGGAGGGGGGGATTTTGTTAAGCTTTGGAATGAAGGGGGGAAGGGGGATATGTCAGTTTGTATGTGTGTCTGAGTATGTGAGCGTGTGTGGTGTGTCTGTCTGTCTGTAGGTAACTCTTTGATTTATAATATTCGTTCAGTGTAATTAAATGTAAACATTATGTACTGTGTATTAAACTATCTTATGTATTTTTGGAGAAATGTACAATTTTCTTTATATTTTGATATATGTAAATCAATGAAGCTGTATATTTGTTTGTTATATATTTTGTACTGAATGAATACAATAAAACAATACTACAAAAAAAAAAAAAAAAAAAAAAATCTGATTTTCAGACCCTTGTACTGAATGGTCGTAAGTTTTGTGCTGCACAAAGATTCAATCAGTTTAATTTTGGCCATTACAAGTAGTAGGTTATTGATGTAGAAAAATGCTCATGTACCTATTACAGCTCATTTTATGAATGTTATTACCAAAGAAAAAAAAGATGTCAGTTAGTCACTCAATAGTGTCTGACAGGGAAATCTAGAAAGTAAAATGGTTTTCTTGTATAATATGAATACTAGGACACTGCTAACATTTACATTTCATGTATAGGACATACATGACATACTCATAATTTCTGCAAAGTTCTACAGAATTTGATGTTGGCTGCAAAAGTGACATTATATCTTTAAAGGCTTAGCCCATAAATATTGAAGATGACCCCTAAACTTCATCTCCATCAGGTTGTTGCCTCATCGGCTAAGACCATGAAGCTGAAGCTATGCGGTCTGTCATCAGACCAATCAGGGGAGTGCAAGGGGGCAGCCATCTGTCTTCAGGCGGGGCAGGACAAGTACTCCCTAGGGCAGCTGTCCACCCAGACCATTAGTCAGGAGGAAGAGATCTTCAAAGTGGAATACACAGGCGGGTCTACGTGCCCTTCATGTATGTAATAATTTCTTCCTTTTTTTTGAAAATCTTTGGCTGAAATTGGAAGGGAACCTGTATTTAACTCATGAATGTGATGAGATTGTGTAGACTTTAAATGTAAGTCATATGGTAATATTTCTCCCTCAACTTTGAAGTTAAAGCCTATTGGACTAGTTTGGCCAGAAGGGATTAGACCTCCCTTCATCCTCAATGACAGGTGGTTACATGTATCTCATCAAATCAGCTCTTAATTAACATAAGAAAAAGGGGACCATGGGGGACCAATGGTCACCGATTAGGCATTTTTGCTATGTAGAAGGCGCAAGTAGCTATAAATAGTGCAGTGGGGTTTTAACATATTGAAAGGGAAACCATATTACTGTCAAACTCATAAATATTAATTTTGGGATTATGAAACTAGTCTGAAATAATTATAATACACACTGTAGTGATTGTATTTGTAAAGTAATATATCCATTGGACAGAAATCTTTATTGGAAGATCGAGGTATGTTCTCAGATGTTCTCTTAATTATTCAGAATGAAATATTCATAGAAATGCTGCAACTTTGTTAATATTTTAATATACAGTGATCTTTCTTGAAAATTCCATCATATACATTTCATAATGAATAGAATATTCAATATGAATTGAATTATGCTATGTTTTTTCCTAATGGAATTTGTTTAATGATGCATTATATCAATAATATATGTTTGCTAGATATAGTGGATCATTTTGCCCATGATACTCCATTCCGTATTCCTTTTCTTATACTTACAGCTGAGGGTAAGAAGAGGCAGACCACCATAATACTTAGCTGTGATCCGAAACCTAGTAAAACATCGCCTACCTTCTTTTCTGTAAGTTGCCCAATAAGTTTGTGCATTTGTATAGAAACCGCATCTGAGGGAAGATACATTGTCATGTAATTGGTATTTATTGTTATTGTTTTATCTTATGATGTCATCTTTATATTATTTTTTATTTTTTTATTTCATTTGTTTATTCTTTAGAATTATTTGTATTTAATATTTATTTATTTATTTCATCATTATTCTTATTGTCAATATTAATATTATTATTATACACATATATATATATATATATATATATATATATATAGATGTACATGTATATACATATCTTTTTTCTTTTTTTTTTGGGGGGGGGAGCAGGGTAGGATATCTAAGGAGGCGGTTGTCGAGGACAATTTTCCTTATTACAGTTGTTGTAGGTTATTTTGTCTGATTTTTGCTTTCTGTTCATTTTTGCGATTTACTCTAATGAGGGCAAGACAAAAAGCTTTAGTATATCAGTGTTTGTTGCTCTTTTTTAAAGTAATAATATGTAAAGCCTGTCTTAATAGAACTTTTTCGATCTCACACGAGCGATATGTGGATGAGAAACAGTGGGGGGTCTGATCATAAAACATGTGGTGAGCTTTTGGACACCGTCTTAATCAGCTATCCGCAAAAACCTCACCCGGGTAGGTTACCATACAACCGCCACCTGTTCATCGCAATCAGCTGGCGCGCGCTGTGTACATGACACGTAAATTACGGGTAAATTACTTTATCGACGTGAAAAAATGTATTTTTTCTCTGCAATGACGAAATTTACCCGGATAACATTCCGCGAGCGTCTTAATAGGCCATTTATCAGAAAGTCGTCCGGACAACGTCACCCTCCTATCCCCCTAGCTCGTCTAAATTGGAAGTGGGTAAATAGTCGTCCGGACGTCACCGCAACTTTATTTTCCAATTAAGACGGGTTTAATTTATCACTTTATCTATTCATTGACCTTCATTTCAAGTTTTCATTTCAATTTCTTTTATTGATGACTTGGAAAAATATTGTTTTTTTTTTTCAGTCCGATGAAAACTGTCATTACTCATTCCACTGGGCGACTGCTGCTGCGTGCCCTGCTGATACCAGACCATGTGACCTTGCATACCAGGGCAACGTCTATGACCTTTCACCTCTCTCTCAGATCACCGGCAGCTTCCAGTTCCAGGATAGCAGTAAGAATATGTGAGTCAAGTCTTCTCAAAACAGAGAGAAATCCTCATCGATCATTTTAATGATTTTGTTAAATCGATAAGTATTTGTGCTCAAATCAAATGTAAATATTTAATTTAGTATCATTGACAAACACTTTTTTTTCATCTCTGTAACATGTTTTTACTCTATCTGTTTTTCTACCTTCAAAAGACCTTTTTACCCAGTGATCTTTGTCCTCTTTTGATATGTATTTGTAAGCCCTATGGTACTGATTGTTTTTAGCGCTCCTAAATATTCTATATTATTATTATTATTATTATCTGAATGAAATTTTTTGAAAAGAATTATGGTGCCATACACATGTGTATTAAAATGCTGTATTAAAATCATCACCATCTTCATTCTGTAGGTATTACATGAATCTATGTCAGCCAGCATACGGGACCCCTGAAGACTGCCCTCCAGAGGCCAGCATGTGTCGTCAGAGACCCGATGGTCAGGTGGACGTCCTGGGAATGGTCAGAACTCAGCAGCTGACCGCTAAAGGTATGAGATGGTCTTTGGGGTTAACAAGGGACTGTTAAAAGGAGGTGTAGCATGGCAAATACTGGTTAAATCCATCTACGACTTCTTTTGGACAACTGCGCGAAAACGAAGAGACTTGATCAGCGCGTGCTAGCGTTCGCAAAACAGGGTAGGCCTACTGTTGTCGCGTCGTCCGTAGTCAGGTCACGCAAAAGACACACATAGTCTCGTCATGCTACACCACCTTTAAGGCATTGTAATGAAAGTACAGTTGTAAATGATATTTACAGACGTCAGAAATACTGTTTGTCTGATGGTTATGTTCAGTTATAACTTTGTTGTACTGCTTTCCATTGTGTGAATGTTTGCATTTCTTTGTATATTCTTATTTTCTATTAATGACATATATTTTCATGTACAATACTCTGTTCCTCTCCGTTATGCTCCCTTTCATTCCTTTCCTAAATATTTTTTACATCTTTTTTTGGTCCCTGTCTCCGCTCTTTTTTTCATTTGCTGACACTCCCTAACCTGCTCTCACCCCCCACTCCTTTGCTCCCCTCCCCTCTCTCTCTCCCCCCCCCTCTCTCTCTCTCTCCCACCCCCCCCCCCCCTCTCTCTCTCTCTCTCTCTCTCTCTCCTCCCTCTTCCATTCTCTCCTTCTTCCTCACATTCTCCATTTTCTTACTTCTTTCTCCCATTTTATCTTCCTTTGTGCTTTACAGGAGATGTTCCAGATATTGAAGTGACCTTTTTTGAAGGTTCCCAGGTTGATGACTGCGGTAGTCCAGATCAGCCAGATTCTCCATCAATTCCAGCTTCTTCATCCATTACTTTCAAGTGTGCCAACAAAATGGGAAACCCATTGTTTCAAAGGTAAATGAGAGAGAGAGAGAGAGAGAGAGAGAGAGGGGAAGGAGAAAGGGGGAGGGGAGAGAAAGGGAATGGGAAACCCATTGTTTCAAAGGTAAATGAGAGAGAGAGAGAGAGAGAGAGAGAGAGGGGGGGGGGGGGGGGGGGGAAGGAGAAAGGGGAGGGGAGAGAAAGGGAATGGAGTGTTAGAGAGAGAGAGAGAGATTTAGAGTTAGAGATAGAGAGAAAAAAAGGGAAGGAGGAAGAGGGGAGGGATATAAACAGACAGACAGACTTACAGATACGGGGAGAGACAAACAACAGACTAACAGATAGACTGACATCCAAAAATATATGAGATAGAGAGCAGGAAAGAAAGATCTAAAGAGGTATAGAAAGAGGGCTGCAAACTCGCTGTGAAACACCCCTATCCTATATGCTTATACAAAGATGATCAAGATAGATATATACAGAGTGAGTCAAAAAAAAGTTTACACCTAGAAAATTGCTAATTATTTTATAAATCATCTATGGACAGTAAATTATTATACATCTTATGAAAGAGTGTTTTATCCCGAATCATTCAGTATCATTTTTGTGTGGTATGTGTTCACGCTTGGGTGAACAGGAGGCATTGTTGCGAGTGTGCAAAAATCGACTTGCGCCAAAGTTGCCTTTGTGATGTTTTAATAAAACAATTGGGATTTGGGTGTTAATTCGGTCTTTGCAGATCCAAATAACACCCCTAACAAAATCAATTATGTCACACATATCAAATATCGAATATCAAATATCAAGGAACATTTGTGCGCGTGTGTGTGACTTTGCCCTTTGCAAAAAATATATGCAATGCATTTCATTTGATACATTCAATCCATTCTCTCACTCCACTAATCCCAACATAATACATACTGAAGGCATCACTTTGGCGCAAGTCGATTTTTGCACTCTCGCAAACAATGCCACCTGTTCATCCAAGCGTGAACACATACCACACAAAAATGGTACCAAATGATTTGGGATATAACACTCTTTCACCAGATGTATAATAATTTACTGTTCATAGATGATTTTAAAAATAATTAGCAATTTTCCAGGTGTAAACTTTTTTTTGACTCACACGGTAGTAGCAATACAATGTGATAATAGTGTCATGACTGTTTACACTACTGGAGATAAAAATGATTAATTGTGGTGAAAGATAAAATACATACATTAAGGAAAAAAAAAGACAATGGCAATTACAGATATCTCCAGCATAATACAATGCACCAAGTAGGTTTTTTGCATACCACTTGTGACATACAGTGTATATGAATGATGATGCAGCCTGAAACATATATATATATATATATATTTTGGTGTGTTTTTAATGCTTTCCTACAGGACTGAGCTCATTGATAACAAGTGCCAATTCCAGTTTCTATGGGAGTCTAAGGTAGCCTGCAAGGAACAAAGGTACGATACTTTTTACATCTCCCTCCTCCTTCATTGCTGTCTTTTGGTAGTTTTTCATTGTTTTTATGCCTCCGCCACCGAAGGTGGTGCCGGAGGCATCATCTTTTCGGGTTGTCCGTCCGTGCGTCCGTACGTCCGTCCCATTTGACCGTTATCACAATATCTCAAGAACCATTTAAGATTTAAACTTAAGACTCGGGAATAGTATTTATCACCATAGGAAGACGATCTGATTAGATTTTGGAGTACGTAGGTTAAAGGTCACAGGTCACAGAGGTCAACTTATGAAATTCCTTGTATTGAGTTTGTTAGCGCGATATCTCAAGAACCATTTGAGATTTAAACTTCAAACTTAAGGATAGTATGTATCACCATAGGAAGACGATCTGATTACATTTTGGAGCACGTATGTCAAAGGTCAAGGGTCACAGAGGTCAACTTATGAAATTCCATACATTCAAATTCAATTCAAATTCAAAATTTATTCATGTTTCCAACAAAACATTACAAATCAATTATAAGCATTTAAAACAAATTTAAGAAATACATGTTGGAAACAGAGGGGTCCACTAAAAAGCAATGCTTGTACAAGTGTGGACACCTCAAATGAAACTTAGGAATAATGAGTAATTAAATTATCTAATATGTAACTACAAAAGGAACTATAAAATAGGGGAAATAAAAAGGGGAATGCCAACAGAGACGAGAAAGGGACAAAACAATACTTTACACGACAAAGATAGAAGAACACGGTCATAATACAAAGAGTAGACAATGAAAAAAAGAAGTGAGAGATCGAGGGTACAGAAAATAATACTAAAAGATGAGCTGCATGTGGGGTTGAGAAGAAGATAAGGAAAGAGAAAGGAAAAAGAAAAAAGAAAAAGAAAAAAGAAGTGCGCGTTAGAAATGAAATAAGCATGAGAAGGAACAATATAATATATCAAATTACATCTTGAGTCAGTGAGCGGAGAATGATCGTATATTAAGCAAAAAGCAATGACGGCATATAATTCAATGAGGTGTATATGATTTTAATAAAAACAACTTCAATTTTTTCTTAAAAGTATTAATCGATGGAGCATTTTTTATTTCACCACTTAATGAATTCCAAAACTTTGGACCTTCATATATAAATGTTTTTTGAGCTGAGAGGGTCCGCAAGAGAGGTAAATGGAAATCATCTGAATGTCTTGTTGGGTAATTATGAACTGAGCTATTTTTAAAAAACATTTCTTGAAAAACAGATGGCAACATATTATTATTATAATTATACATAAATTGACCAAGTTGGAAAAAATATAAGTCTTTTACCTTAAGTATTTTATTATTAAAGAATAGAGCGTCTGTATGGGAGCGAAAGGGGGAATTACAAATAATACGAATAATCTTCTTTTGTAATAAAAACACTTTATCTAATAACGTTTGATGAGTGTTACCCCAGACTAAGAGACCGTAGTTCAAGTATGGGAGTATCATAGAACTATAAAGCATAATTAAGGAATTAAGAGGAAGACATGTCTTTACTTTGTAAATAATACCAATATTTCGAGAAATAATTTTACAAATATTGTCGATGTGATTTCTCCAAGAAAGCTTTTGGTCAACCGTAACACCCAAAAATGTATTAAATGAAACACACTCCAATGGAGTATTTTCAAAAACTATGTTTGCTGGCAATGAATTTATAGATTTACTAAATAACGTATACTTCGTTTTCTGGATATTCAAAGATAATTTGTTCGCTCTAATCCACGATAAAATATTACGCATTTCAATATTAATAATTTCAACTAATCTATGAGGGTCTTTGTGAGAAAAAAATAAATTTGTGTCATCAGCAAAGAGTACGAAAGACAAAATATCAGATGATCGACAAAAGTCATTAATATATAGAATAAATAAGAGCGGGCCTAAAATGCTACCTTGTGGAACACCGCAATTTATTTTACGAAAATCTGAGGAGTTGTCATTTAAAAAAACATATTGCTCTCTATCCGAAAGATAGCTCCTGAACCACTCCAAGGCCTTCCCACGTACACCATAATGTGAAAGTTTATAAAGTAAAATATCGTGGTTAATCGTGTCGAAGGCCTTGGAGAAGTCCAGGAAAATACCAATCATATGGGAAGATTTGTCGATGGAATGAGCTACCTTTTCAATAAAAGACAATAATGCGTGTACAGTATTATGTTTTTCCCTGAAACCAAATTGGAGATTAGAAAAAATATTATGATTTTTTAAAAAACATACTGTCCGAATATAAATTATCTTTTCTAAAATTTTCGAAAAAGAGGATAATAAAGAAATGGGACGATAATTACTAATATCTAATTTATCACCCTTTTTAAACAAAGGAAGGACCTTAGCAACTTTCATTGAAGTGGGTACCTGGCCATATAATAAAGACAAATTAATAATATGGACGAGAGGATCCACAACGGAAGATATAATGCCCTTTAAGATAAAATTGTTTATTTCATCATGGCCTGAACTTTTCTTAGTCTTTAGTTTCGAAACAATATCTAAAACTTCACATCTGTGAGTAGGAACAAAAAATATAGACTTTTGATTGGGCTGGCCCAGAAAATCAACAAAGTGCTTGTTTGATGGAGGAATGTTAACCGCAAGATTTTCACCAATCGATGAAAAATAATTATTAAAAATATTAACTATGTCACTAGGATCCTCAACGATCTCATCATTAAATTAAATTTTGTTTATGTCAGATTTATTTTTAGTAACATTCATTGCCTGTTTAATTATTTTCCAGGTATTTTTCATATCATGTTTGTATAATACCAACATATTTTCAAAATATCTTTTCTTTTCCAAACGAATAATCTTAGTCAAAATATTTTTGTAGGATGTATATTTAACTTTTGATCGTTCAGTGCCCTTTAATTTATATCTATAAAAAAGATTATTTTTCTTATTTATCGAACGTAATATTGATTTAGTGATCCAAGGGAGCCTTGGTGTTTGTTTATAATTATTAGTTTTATCTCTTTGTTTAGGTATGCAAGTATCTAAATGGTTATTCAAAATATCACAAAAATTGACGTAAGAGGAATTCGCATCATCAACACCATAAACAGGAGACCAATCTACATGTTCAAGACTAGAAACGAGGCTAGTTAACTTTGCCTGAGTGACTTTACGTTTAAATAAACGTGGGTCATAATTGTTAATTGATTTAGATAGAGTATAATGTGTTACAATGGGATAATGGTCAGTTAAGTCAGAAAGAACAATATAAGAATCAGGGTGGGAAATTATATTTGAAAAAATATTATCTATTAAGGAGGCAGAGGAGTTTGTTACGCGAGTGGGCTTGGAAATAAGAGGTAAAAAAGAGGCAGAAAATAGAGTCTCAAGAAACTCTTGTGACACATTATTATGTTCATGATCTAATAAATTTATATTAAAGTCCCCCATTAAAAAACAATCTTTATTAATTAACACTGGACTTCTCAATAAGTCAGATAACTGCGGCAAAAATTCTCTTGGGTTTGAGTTGGGGGGTCGATAAATTACTCCAACCATTATATTCTTACCTCCAGGATTCAAAATTTCAATAAAAAGAGTTTCAAAGACATCATTAATTATTGAAATATTATCATGCACAACATAATTAAAAGTTTTAAGCATATATAATGCAACACCACCGCCGACTCTACCTTGCCTGTTTTTAAAGACAAAATCATAATTTTCGATAAAAAATGGTAAATTAGAATCGTGGGATAGCCAAGTCTCTGTCAGTCCAATTAAAGAAAGCTGTATATTGGAAGGGTTATCTAAGAATGATTGCAATTCATCAAAATGTTTATTTAAACTTCGTATGTTGAAATGCAATAAAGATAATGTATCACTATTAAAATCTTTAATAATATCATGAAATTGTGCATTTGTTATATACTTTGAAAAAGAATGTTGTGCTGGATCCTCGAGATCAAAATTCAAATTCAACTCCTGGGATGATGAATTTAATTTTTCAACAACAATTTCATCAAAAGATCCTGGAAGATTAACAAAGGGTTGATTATTAGCTTGATTGGGTCTCAATAAATCAAAAAGGTCATCGTCGCTCACAGACTCAAAAGGTAAATTGTGATCTAAATCAGCCAGATCAGCCATGCGGGGTTCAGAAGCAGTACCTGAAATGGAGAAAGCGCATCAAGTATAAAATAAAATAAGCCATTGGAGGCGCTCTTAGTATGTTGGTGCAGAAGAAAGGAAAAAATAAAAAATAAAAAAATAAAAGCGGAACAAACGTATGCAGCAGGACGATAGATAGAGACAACTGACAAACACAGACACGACAAATCATACAAGGGCACAGTATGAGAATATCTTGGCATGACAAAACAAAAAATTGTTATACGGGCACTGACTAATGATGACGTAAACAAGAGGAAGAAGAAAGAAAAGAAAGAACAAAAAAAAAAAAAAAGAAGCACGTAAAAGGCATTACTCCCTTAAGGAAAAGATATATAATTGGGTACACCATGCATAGGACCAAACAACAGGTTTTCATGAATAAAATGTTTTATTAAAAAAAAAAGAAACAAGGAATTAAATGTACATAATACAAACATACTGACTGAAGCAAGTACCCCAAAGTAGGTGAATTTTTCCAGCACCAAATGTAATTATGATTAGAGTATTGAATGTGACCATAAAATCGTGACAGAGTGTTATCACTCGAAGTAAACAAACAGACACCAATCCTGGGCCCGAATTCACAAAGGAGGCCCGTCGACAAACCCATGTTTATGTGCGTCATAATTATGACGCGTTTCGACGCGTCTTTACAAACCTTGATCTGCAAAAAACGCGTCGAAACAAAAGGAGGCTTGGATTGTCGACAAACCCCCTCTGCGAACTCGGGCCCATATGTTTAGAAAATTGTAGGGGCAAAGACAATTGTGAGCGTATCAGTTTGCAACAATTTGTATGCAAAACATTCGCCCTACGCACATGCAAAACACTACAAACAGGTTGAATGGAAGAATCCGTGCCTAGGAATGTACATAGAAAAAAGTTATACAATAGATATTTATACAATCATAATATAAACGGCTTCAGTTTATCGTCTGTTATTATCTGGAATATATTGACGTACAAGATTCAGTTGTACCCAGCTGACCCCAACCACTTCCCTGCCCGCTATTACAGTGTGAACAATGGAGGTATCAGGTAAAGGCATGTAGTATTCATGTCCTCAAATATTTTTGAAGCAAGCAGTTATAGTTAGTAGCCATTTAGTACGTAAGTGGTTGACATTGGTAGGGAGAGGAATGTCAAGGCTGTAAAATTACTTTGACAATTACATTTTATAGAGCAAGTTTATCGTCTATTATTATCTGGAATATATTGACGTACAAAATTCAGTTGTACCCAGATGACCCCAACCCCTTCGACCTGCTCGCTATTACAGTGTGAACAATGGAGATTGTTATCATAATATCTCAAGAACCACCGGAGATTTAAACTTCAAACTTAATGATAGTGTGTATCATCATAGGAAGACAATCTGATTAGATTTTGGAGTACGTAGGTCAAAGGTCAAGGGTCACAGAGGTCAACTTATGAAATTCCATACATTGAGATCGTTATCGCGATATCTCAAGAACCACTGGAGAATTTTCACTTCAAACTTAATGATAGTATGTATCACCATATCATAATATCTCAAGAACCACTGGAGATTTAAACTTCAAACTTAATGATAGTGTGTATCACCATAGGAAGACAATCTGATTAGATTTTGGAGCACGTAGGTCAAAGGTCAAGGGTCACAGAGGTCAACTTATGAAATTCCATACATTGAGATTGTTATCATGATATCTCAAGAACCACTGGAGATTTAAACTCCAAACTTGTTTAAATTGCTCTATGGCGGAGGCATCATTTTCGACTGCGCGCAGTCAAAATTCCATCTAGTTTTTGTTTTTCTTCCTTCTTCCCAGCCTCTATTTATCCCCTACATGTATTCTTGAGGAGACCGCATACAGCGTGAATGACTCTCTGTGTTACAAATACTAAATACAGTAGCAGGGAATATTTGTCATGATTGAAATGTTTCTATGTAAGAGCAAATAGCTCTTTATTTTTTTTAATCTCAATAAGGCCAAGAATTTGTTTTTTATAACAAATTTTATGAAACAGGGCCCAGGGGGGGTGTTTCACAAAACTTGTCATCAGTGACAAATGACAGTTTTCGTTATAAGCTACTGAAATCCTTGCTTCTGATTGGTTATCAGCAGTCACTGAAAAAAGGCTTTGTGAAACGGGTCCCAGATGTTGACATTGTTTCTTAATATGTTCTTGTATCTAGAGTGCCTGTAACATTAGTAGAAAAGAAGATCACAGACCCTGAGACCAACGTCGTCATGGATTTCACTGAGATCATAGACCACGGGTAAGTAACTCCTCGACCACTACAAGGATATCATTTTGTTAATTTTGAGGATTATAATAATTGTATTTATAAATAACCTGTTCCTGAGGATACCATAGACCTGTTCATGGTTAGCACATGGCTGCAATGACCCCTAATATCCACGGATCCTCAAAACGTGAAGAGGTCCCACTTTGTACATTTTGAAATAATCACTTCTATAGCAATGGAGGTGCCACATGAATAGCCTTTGTTTCCCCCTTTTCAAAGAATACTTCCACCTGTGTATCATGGAGTGCACTGCTTGTGCATGAATGAATAATGATTACATAACTTTCCTGAGCACGTATCCAGTATTTTGTCTCCGTGTATTTCACAATTTGTTCTGCAATGACCTTTAACTGCTCATGCTCAGACTGCAACTGTGAACTGGCTTATTAAGAAGAATTATAGAGGTATGTTTTCAAATGTTTTTGAAGAAGTCATGTGTAGTCCGAAAATGCAGGGAGTTTGTTCCATAAGCGTGGCGTAACAGGTTGAAAGATTTGAAACCAGCCTGTTGAGGGATTTAGGAATGAGCTGATGTAGATAAAAAAGAATATGATGCTCTCTGCTGCTGTAAGAGATGTATTGAGGAACTATGTTTGAGATTGATTTAAAAGTTCAAACAAATATCCAGTATTGAATTTTGGGCAATTTTGTCCAGATTTTGAGGATCTGGTTATAATGATTATGCATGTAGTATCTGGTTTTATATGGAGTGAGATATCATTATACAATGTTTTCAAGATAAACATTGAGAGAAGGTGGCATTGTGATTCCATCCCTGTCATACAAAATGTAATTTGTGATACCAGTTTGTGTAGAGGAGAAGCACCACCTTTACACGTTAAGAACCCACTGCACTATTCGCATAAGAGAAGGGGGAAACCCGGTGTAGTGGTCCACCTGCACACCCCAAATCAGTTATATTGGGAGGAGAGACCTGAGGGTTACAGTGATTCAGTTTGCTTTTCGCCTCCCAGGCACAGGTGACGCCAAATTAATTATAATAATAATAATAAACTTAGTACCACTGCTGAATAAAATCGCACTCCAGATAAAACCTGATATTGCGTGCATAGTTGCACACATGTCAAACAACACATTTTCTTTTATCTTCCTGTTTTCTTTTGAAGAACATGGGAAGCACGAGGTGATAACCGCAAAGAGGTCACAGGAGATCCTTCATCGTACGTCTACTCCATCAACATGAACGACAACCAGGACAATGTCCCGGGCGACGTCAGTCACGTCTGTCAGGACTCTGCCGTCTGCCAGACCAAAGAGTCGGACCAACAGTTCTTTAGGGACGTAGGAACAAGATCCAGCAGGAAGTTCTTCATAGAAGGTAAGTCTTAGACCAAAGTAGACTAGGATTCTTGATCTAAATCATTTGAGGATAATTGCAGAATTTTTGAATGTTTAGTATTGGCTAGCAAATATAGTCTCCTAGGAACATAAGACTACATTGGTTTAAAAGCAAGGATGTTAATTTTGTGTATTTATAGTATTTAGAGCTTTGAAATGAAAAGTACATAGCTCAAGTTTTCCTTTCACAAATTCATCATTAACCAGTAAACCATAATGAAGTGTGTCTTCCTTCAGATTTTTAAATTTTTAAACTTATACAATATATCTTCTCAAAGATTCTTGAACCAATGCAGATCACACTAGATTAAATTGATGCATTACTTTTCGCATGTATCTAATGACTGTCAGCTTATGAACGTGTCTTAATCAACCTAGATTACTGGAAAGGGTAATTTGCATGCAATTACTCAGAAGATCATGATGTTTTATTGTAGATAAATGATGGATGTTGACATGGATTTGATGTCACAAAACACAATACTCGTTGAAAGAGAAAATGAATTTTAAAGACAGCAGTATTTTAAAAAATTCTTCCAATGTTTTTTTGATGTTAGATGAATTAGTGGAGATGGAAGTCACCAAACCTAAGAGCTGTGGAAAAGATAATACAGAAGATGTGGTCACAACAGTCATATTCCAGTGTGAAACAGACTCCAAAAATGTAAGTTACACATGTATGCTCAACCCTCTCTTCCTAATTTCAGGTGTTATGGTCTAGTGGATAAGTCACCAGACTAGTAGAATTACAAGGTACTGGGTTCAAATCCCAGCCCCGCTCTAACATCCATCGTCAAGACATTAATGTACATTTGCCACTCTCCACCCAGATAAGGTAAATGGGTACCTGATATGCTTGAGTGCTAGTTACTTTGGGGGCTCTGTTGTAACCTGGGTAATGATTTCTAAGAGTCACGAGCATCACAGCATTACACATATGAGCACTATACTGTGCTTATCAAAAAAAGTTTTTCCCAACTTCGGAAGCTTAAAATTAAAAAGTCATAATTAATGTGTAATTGAAATCTATTTCATGGTAAAGAGTAACTTGTTTTCTGTCTAATGATGCCCTATTCAGAGATTTGGGGTATATTTTGTTATGTCTATGCACTGTATAAGAAGCTTATATTATTAGTAGTATTATTATTAATTTTATTATTATTGTCGCCGACCTCGTCCTTGTCATCATTATTATTATCGTTATTATTGATCTTATGTTACTGTATTGAGTAGAAAATTGAATTAGTTGAATCGTGCATAGTATCATAGTCACTCCGCTAGAGTGACTACAAACCAACCAAAACGTCACAAATCCTGGCCATTTGGAATGATGTACTCTGATTTGGGGTCTTTCGACGGTCTCCTGTCTTGTTTCTCTGTGTGACTGGCATAAATTTGTCTCAAAAATGCTGTAAGAAGCGTACTATACAGCGTGTGGCAAAATGATTTATTGTAAACTCTTCCCTCCTGCCCACTCTTGTATTTCCTTTGTTTTTGAAAGTCTCAGTGCATGTAGGGGGAAAATCCCCTGAAGAAAAAGAGAGAGATAAAACATATAAAACAGGAAAAAGGAGAGAGAGAGAGAGAAAGAAAGAGAGAAAGAGAAACAGAGAAACAGATTACAGAAATAAAGACTTGAAAGTTCGACAGAAACTGTGTTAGAGGAGCTTGTTGGATTTGAGAAGATTGAAAAGGATTGAAACCAAAGATCAATAATGAATATTAGTTTCTAGCTTTGACAAGCGAAGTGCAATGTATCACACGAGTTTGCATATTTTTTAACTGAAAGTCTGTTTTGAGTTCCCATCTATCATGTCCATCACAATTTTATTGGCAAAATTTTGCCATCTTTCTCAGGAAAAGAATACATCATAGCTGATGAAAATCTCGTTTATCAGCTAAATAATTGATAAATGCTCACAGAGTTCATTCCTCCCATTAGATTTCTGCAGTATATTAAATTACAAAAATCAATCTAACCAAATAGAGTAGGCATGTACATTGTACATGATTTAAATATACCTGGGGAGTGTTTCACAAAGACAAAGTCGACTTTATGTTGGAGTTAACTATGGCTGGCTGTTCATGCCTCTGTTTGCTTTCAACATTTACTGGCATTGGTCTCTCAAGGGACGTACAATTCATGGTCATTTATCTACAGAATTTACATTTTTTGATAATTCATTATCGAAGGAAAAGATATTACATAAAGATCATAATGGTGAGAGCAAACAGTGGCATGAACAGCCTGCCATTGTTAAGTCCAACTTAAAGTTGATCTTAATATTTGTGAAACACTCCCCTGTACTTTGATTAGTAGTGTTGATGATAATTACATTAAAGGGATCGTTTAACAATGTTAAATCTGAGATACATGGTCCTACATGTTACCAGTGTCTGTGATATGGTGTAATATTGAGGCCCTAAAAAGATCGCGCTTCAAAAATGATCAAGAAGTGCCTCAAAAAAGTAAAAATCTTTGAGTGACCGGTTTTACCATACTCGTTTTTCCCCATAGACTGTAGTGTTATGAAAACCGTTCGGTGAACAGTTTGCAAAATTTGTAATTCCAATCATTAATATCTTGATAAACAGACAGGCGAACGGCTTGTAAAAGTCATGGAGTTCCAGACTGACCTAAAGGTTTATAATTATCATTGCAGCATGAGCTAAATCAAGGATTATTTCTAAAGGATCTAAGACAAAGTTACCGGATCCCTTTAAATGTGGTCACTTGAAAGTATATATATTTTTTCTTTGCATTCTTTGTTTATAGAGAGAGAGATAGAAAACCAAAACCATCTTTTAAAGAAAACCTGTTAATGTGTCTCCCTTTATTTTGTGTATGTCATTTAATTACAGAAAATGTATTTTGTTAACTAAAATAGTTTTGTACATACATGTAGTTTTCATGGGCATGCTTCATTCACTATTCTATTTCTCTGGATAATTGTCATCAATTTTATTTGTTAATGTTTAATTTTCATAGACAGTATTGTGTCTTGGTCCTGAAAACAATACCACGAATACAATACCCCTCCATAACATTCTTGGTACGTGCTGCTACTTCTTATCTATTTGTTATTTTCTGCTTGCTTTTTTTTACAGGGCAACCCTGAGTTTTACTACGAATCTAGTAATTGCCAATATTACTTCTTATGGTTGACGTCTGTTGTGTGTACAGAAGGAAAAATGTAAGTATATGTTAAAGGGCAAACCAACCAGAACTCAGCTTATCTTTTACAATGTCAGTCTTGTGAACCATCAGAACGTTTTGTCTGCCTTTTGGGCTGTTTACCTCATTGGTCTCATAGCCCGTAGCCATTCCCTGGTATATTTTATCTTCACTACTACTACTACTACTACTCCTACTGCTACTACTACTACTACTACTACTACTACTACTACTACTACTACTTCTACTACTACTAATACTACTACTTCTACTACTACTACTACTACTACTACTACTACTACTACTACTACTTCTACTGCTTCTACTACTACTACTACTACTACTACTACTTCTACTACTACTACTACTTCTACTACTACTTCTACTACTACTACTACTTCTTCTACTACTACTACTACTTCTACTACTACTACTACTACTACTACTACTACTCCTACTCCATGAACCATTATCCCTTAGCAGGGGTTGGTTGCCTGAATCCTCCATCTCCACTCTCCTGTGTTCCCTGTTTGAGCTGTTGTCAGATTTAGTTCCCTCATATCTCTTTTAATGTTATCCTTCCAATGAGCTTTCAGCCTTCCTTCCACTGCTCGCATCATAACATCCTTTGCTGGTTTTCCTTCATCTCAATCTCATCTTCCTATTAAACCTTCTCCAGGATATTAGCTGCCTTCAGCTCCTTTCTTACTTCCTCTTCTCTTCTCCTAAGCCTAATGTTACCCCAGGGGGATGTTTCACAAAGATTTTAAGTCAAACTTAACTCTAAGTTGGACTAAGTTAACAATTATGGAAAGCCGTTAGCATCATTGAAAATATTTTGTAAAAATTATTTAAAAAGGCATAAAATGTAGATTCAAATCATTCATATTTTCTATTTTCTCGGGAGATTTCATGTTCTTGATGTGGAGTTCATGAAACGTCTAAAATACTTGAATTTTGCTTTTGAATGTATTTCATTATAAGGCTACAATGGCTCTCCATAATATTCAAGTCCAACTTAGAGTTAAGTTTGACTTAGAATCTTTGTGAAACACCCCCGTTTTCCTTCAAAACACCCTCATTTCTGTCACCTCCAGTGTATTTTCTTCCTTGTTCAAGTCCAAACAGTAGCACTGATTGTATATTACTGTGTTGTCCAACATGACCTTTAGTTTCACAGGCATAGGTTTGTCACTAATGACTCCTGAGATCTACCTTCACAGTACTTTGTCTAAAATGTACAGAACTGAATTAGTACATGTTCTTCAGGTCCCCTATATAGTTATGATTATGTACATGAACCTGTACTTGCATAGTATCCAGAGTGACTTCCATCAATGAAAATAAATTCATCATTTGACTCACTACTTTTATATCTCTTTTTAAATGTTTTATCGCAGAGTAATAGTTCCTGATGATGGCGGAGGCGATGATACAGTGGGCACCTCTAACCACAAGCAAGCTTCAATTATCATCTTGATTTTAATCATCATCATCATTTTATGCAGTCTAGCGATAGTGTTTCATAAAAAAGAAAGAAGGTATGTTGATTAAATGTTTGACTATCATCATTCTACTAAATCATTCTAGTCTGAACTAGGTATTAGATCTAGGAAGAACAGAGCCGTTTAATCAATGGCTCTGAATAAAGGAATCTAGATATGTTCTTGTTAAATAATTATTTCTTTATGTTCATATGTATGTATTGTCATAACAAGAGGACATTAAAGGTATAGATCAGTTCTGGTCATGCGATTGCATTGTGAACGAAACGTTGTGGAATCGATCAGAAAAGGTTGATCATCTAGCATATAAGTATTGGTGTGTACTGCAAGGTTCTGGAATCATCAAAATGGTAAGAAATTTGCCCCAGTCTTGGTGAAGTTACAAGCACTGTACACAGAAAGATGTATATGGGACTACACGATATCTATCCAGTCTAGATAGATATGATAAATTACCAAATATATCGATTAGTAGACGATTTCCCGCAAAATTTTTATCATCACGGATTAGTCAAAACATATTCTTTCACAAGATTGGTAATAAGAATTTTTCGTTTCATTTTTTGAGAGGGGGGTGTTTCCAAAAGTGGTCTATACCTTTAACATATGTACAAGATTTTGTAACAGTATACATGTTTTAAGACAGAAAATAAAGCCGAGCCAAACCAAACTAAACCAAGATCAAAATGATGAAAAACTGTTTTCAGGGGTGTGTGTACAAGATGCATTTTTCCCTAGTAAGCCTTGGGGCTTTGAGGATAAAAAGAGAGATAAAAAGGGGTTTTAGTTAAAGAAATGAGGGATTATTGATAGTTTTCTAAAAGAAAAAGGAAATCGAAGTCTGTCAACCAAACTGATTTAATTTAGATTTATAATGATTATATGATATGATTTAGCTTTGGTTTGCTAACTTTAAAAAAAAAAATTAAAAAAAAAAAAAAATTAGGTATTACATGATCCTGATTTTTTAATTTAATTTGTCTAAATCGAAACTACCAAAAGTAATATGACAAACAACAAGTCAAAACAACTTCAATAATTCTTTTCCACAGCATAAGTAATTTCAATAATTTTACATTTTCTTGTGATTAAAGGTAATACAAAGTTTTGGGAAATTTTGAAAATGGGTGGATAGTGATTCTTTACAATTTTGATGTATTTGGATACCCCTGTGAATGTAATATAAGCAGTAAAAAATTAAGCCCCTAAAACACTTCTGCTTTCGAGAAAAATTGAATATAAAAATTTACCGGTGCTCCCGGTAAATTTTGATATACATTTCAATTAGCGTCTACGGCTGTACGATGGTACATGTAGCTGCGACCATGAAAATCTTAGAATATGTAGTTGTGATATATAATTTCCAAACGGGAATAGCTAATTGGTCGATTTTAGTCAAGAAACATTGTTTTATAGCTTAATTAATGTCTTGACCTTGAGAGGGAGCTATACACATAAAGAGTTTATTATTTACAATTTCATAACTTTAGACTCGATTTCAACCGCGACAATGATCACTGAATATTGTAGGGTCGAATATGCTTCCAATATGTTAATGTGAACCAAATTCATGACCCCATACCAAAACTTTGTGTTACCTTTAATTAATGAGACTTAGCTTGGATATGCTTTCCAAATGCACGAAAAAGAAATTGGATACTATGTAGGATTTTTTTTATTTGAAGTTCCTTTCATGGAGGGGAATAAAATCACTCAAAGCAACAAATTGAAATATATTGACATTTTCCTGCACTTACCGGTATAGAGATTGATTTGCACTTAAAAGCTTTAAAAAAGATGCGTTGTAAAGAAAAAAACTCCTAATGGACTCAGGAAAAAATATGATGACTTCCTGGTAATGGAAGAAGATCAGATAACTAGTGTATTTAATTATGGACATTTCTTAGTTAACCCTATTTTCTATGGCATCTCTATGCATAGAATTCACCATGCATACTGCAGTTGCTCCTCCATGTAACATAAAACCCGTCTTAATTGGAAAATAAAGTCGCGGTGATTTTTCAGTTTCAAGTTTTATTTCTGCATTTTCCATAAACAATAACAAAAACAACAATGAATACATTTTAGCAATATAATGATAAGTAATACAAGTAGTAGTTCACAAATAAATAAATATAAATAATCAATAGTAAAATTAATCGTATTTGAAAAGAAAGAAAAGGGGGAGAATGCAGAAGACCGATATCGTAAGCATGCCGGACGGTCAGATGTCCGGACGATATCGAGGTAAATCTCACCCTAGACGAGCTAGGGTGATAGGAGGGTCATCCGGACGACTTTCTGATAAAGGGCCTATTAAGACGCTCGCGGAATGTTACCCGGGTAAATTACGTCATCGCCATGAACAAATTTATATTTTTTCATGGCGATGAAGTAATTTACCCGTAATTTACATGTCATGTACACGGGGCGCGCCAGCTGATCGCGATGAACAGGTGGCAGTTGTTATGGTAACCTACCCGGGTGAGGTTTTTTGCGGATGGCTGATTAAGACGGTGTCCAAAAGCTCATCACATGTTTTACGATCAGACCCCCCACTGTTTCTCATCCACATATCGCTCGAGTGAGATCGAAAAAATTCTATTAAGACGGGGCTTCAGACAGTAACTTTACTTTACAGTGGAACCTCGGTATGAAGAGCTCAGATATAACGAGGTATCTGTTATAACAAGGTAATTTTGTTGGTCCCAAAGACCTCATTATTACGAGTTTCCACTCTACTTTTACCAATCTTGTTTTTCCAGCTAAGGACAATAAAATATTTGATTCATTTCATTCTGCAGATCTGCTGTTTATTGGAGAGTAAGGAGTTGCTGTCCCGGAGCCTATTCTAAAGTTCCAACTTATTCTTATTCTCAGGTGAGTTCGAGACCTTTACTCATATTTAGGCCCATTTACACAGCCCCAAAACCAGTTTGAAAAACCATTCACACTCCTGGAAAAAACCCATAAACATTGTTGGGGTTGCTCATTCTGTTTTTGGTTTTGGGGGTCAGTAGTATGCATTAAATTCGAAATTTAAAAACTGTTTCCCAACAGTTTTTATAAAACTACAGCATATTGGGTAAAAAGAGTATGGTAAAACCGATCACTCAAAGATTTTTACTTTTTTTGAGGCACATCATGATCATTTTGTTAGGGGTTCAATATTACACCATATCACAGACACAGATAAATAATTAGGGCCATGCATCTCACTTCTGTAAAACTGGAGACATTGTGAAACAATGCCTTTAACATGCAACTACTGATCACCAATTTTATCCACATGCATTTGCCCAAAAACATAGATTATAAATATTTACATCAGAGGAAAATTGTTTTAAATTTTCTAAACTAATGAATCTTTCTATTGAAAACTTCCATAAAATAAATTCCACTCAAAGATAGATTTATGATCAATTCTTTTAAAAAATCTGTCTATAAAAAAAAGAACTGAACATCAATGGTTAATGACAGATTTGTAATTTTGATAGATTATCATCAGAACAATTAAAGTAACAATAGTTTAACATTCTATATGTCTTTGATTGTAGCTTACAAATGGAGATCCGGAAGAGTCAAACGATTCCAGATCTCTGTTTGCTGGCCAAGAAGACGAAGAATTACTAACAGCAACAAGGAGAAATCCCTTTGAATTCCATGATGACAGTGATGATGATATCTTGCCACACGTATAGGACAAAAAGATGATCTTATCTATTAATCGTATAAATTATTTTCTATAAATTTTTGGTGTTAGTGGAATGGAGATGAGGGGTGAGCTGAGAGACATTTGAATGAAGAAAGAAAGGACTTCATGTAGAAAGTGTGCCGATCTTGGTTCTGTTTTGATTACAATTTGTTATCATGCTACGTGAGCCGTGCTGTTTCACGTCATATTGAGGGTGTATTTTTTTATATAAGTTTTCTCTGAGATTCTGCGGGATTTGTGAAAAAGAGAGATTGAGATGAAATATATGATTATCTTGTTTCGCTCAGATATCACTTACTTTTGATGAAATAATGATGATGTATTTAAATGTTATGTAACTGAGATTACAACAAAATGATTGATACATTTTTTGTTAATACTGATTATTTGTAAAGAAATAAGAAAGAAAGTTTACAACTCAGAAAGAGATGAAAAGGAAGGTTTGTGGTTATAGTATTTCAATAGAGATGAATTTATATCATTATATATGCTTACTTTGCCTCTGAATGTCTTAGCAGCTTTCGGATGAATGTATGTATGGGCGTTTTGCATGGTATGTGATGTTGATCACATACAATTTGGAAAAGATTATTTATAACTTTTTGTAACATTCTTTCATGTTGCTAAATAATGTTGATTACACAAGATGTGTAAATATTGCTTTGAATGTTTCTGTAATGATTATGATGTCATACAATTTGAGAAGTTTGTGCAATCAAATATATAAATGTACCAGTATTTAGATTTGAGCTCATCTTGAGGTCTGCAAGTTTCAAAAAAACATTCTTACAGAGTCTTACGAAAATCTAACTAATTTTGCAGGACAGCGAATGAATGATATATACATGTACAACATAGTTGGATGACCACCTCTCTATAAATGCCGCCTGTCTATAGCGGCCATGCGTTTTGTATCCCTCAAGCGAGAAATGTGTGTTTCAGAACCTGTCTAGAAAGGCCCTTGGGTGGCCTAATAATAGACAGGTTTGACTGTAATAATCAGCAAAGAAAAGCAAGTGATCTAAACCAGTATATAACTTGCGGCTGCGTACAGAACGCTGATCTTTGAATATCATTTCCTGTAAGTTTTTATTTGTTGATATTTTGCCGGTCTTTGCAAGTCATCCGCATTTACCGCTTGATAAATGTATTATACATGTAGTTCTCAAATTAATGCAAAGCAGTTTCTCTCAAAATGCAATCACCACAACTCAACTTTAATGATAGTAGCAGCATATGATATCCACTGTGATTGGTAAGGCGATGCATAATCATGAGATTATAATCAAAATTATGATTATTCTTTTCTTCTCTCATTTTGTGTCCAGCTCAAATGGTGATAACTCTAATACAGGATATTAGATAAATCCTTTACAGCAGCATGTTAACTGCAATTTTTATTGAAACTGTTATTACTTCTATGCCATTGAGTTCAGAAACAATAAGGGAGTTTACAGATAGCACATGGTACAAATGACCCTAAATATCCACAGATCTTTTACACGTGGAGAAGTTCCACTTTGAGCATCTTAGAATGATAACTGCCAAAGTCCTAAGTGTGCCTCATGAATACCTTTTGTTTGACCTCTTGAAAAGAATACTTCCACCTGCGTATCATAGAATGTACCGTTGGTGCATAATAATGTTACATAACTTTCATGAGCGCATATCCAGTATTCATCTCTGTGGGTTTTACCATTTTTGTACAAATGACCTTTATCTGCCCGTGTGCAGATTGTATCTGTAAACTCCCTTATCATGATAAATAAACTTCTTTTTTTTAAAAAAGATTCTACTTGTTTATTACGATTTTGGCATGATTTATCTTCTAACGAATTGCACAATGCATGTCTTTCTCTCTCTCTCTCTGTGTCAGGAAGAAGAAGGAAAAAAAATGGATTCTTAAACCCAACAGTTTGATATTTGAATTCTATATTTAGAAGGATTGGGGGTTTAAAGATGTGATTCAGTAGTTTATTGTACTGTAGAAAATTTTTTTTAGGACATCTTTTATTAGCTCGTTATCCAAGTGATAAGTGTTAATAAGAGATAAGGATGAAAGGAGTTTGCACAATTACAAGCGTACTCTGTATTAGACTGAAGAGATTGATTCAGACTGTTGATGATTTCATGTGCTTTGCTTTTACACAACTCTGTTGATGTTAATGTATTCTCTGGTATATCTATCTTATATTTTTCCTTCATAAATGGATTGTAAACTTCTTGGCAGCTGCTCTGAAATTGTTTCAATAATATTCACTGAATGTTACAGCTGCTGAATCACTTATGATGCTGTATACATTTACAGTGTATGTGGAAGATTTTTGAATGATTTTGTTTCATCTTTTTCTTGGGGCAGTTGGTAATTAATCTCTTTGAAAATGTGTAGTAAAGTGATAAAACATTTGGAATGTGTGCATAAATGCAAAATAGAGCACTTCTAAATTCATGGAATCATTTCTACCTTGCCCTTGAAGCTTCAATGGGTCTGTCAATATGCTGTTCTAATTTTATTTGATTGTGAACATTAATGCATGGCGATTAAAACAATGGAGATACTCATCAAAATAAGCCACTTTGGAGATAGCGCCTGTACCAATGACCCTCAAATATTCACAGATCTATTACACGTGGAGATGTCCCACTTTGTGCATGAGGTGCTTCATGAATACCTTCTGTTTGCCCTCTTGAAAAGAATTCTTCCACCTGTGTATCATAGAATGTACCATGAATGCAGAACTGAATAAGGATTACATTACTTTCATGAGTACGCATCCAGCAGTCGTATCTATCGGTTTGACAGTTTTGTACAAATGTCCTTGATCTGCACATGCACAGATACATTGTAGTATCTCGGAAGTGGCTAATTATAGGACAACTGTTCCTCTCCACTCCCATCCAAGATGGCTACTTGCTAGAGAGTTGAACTAGGTGACATTTGCTCCAGCAACGTTTGCTCCAGGCTCTATTTTGTCTTAAGATATAGAGAGTTAGATGTAGGTTCGAATTAGGATTTAGGTTAGGGGTTGGTGTTGGTACATGGATATACTTGTAGAACAAGAGTAGAAGTTAGGAATTTGGCTATAAGACCTGTGTGAAATATCCGTGGAGCAAATGGCTTGGAACATATGTTAAAAGAGTATAAAAACTTATATAGTAAAGGATAATTATCTGTGGAGCAAATGGCTGGGAACATAATGTTGAAGAGTATAAAAACTTATATAGTAAAGGATAATTATCAGTAACAGGGTAAGGGCTCTGGATGTTATTGTTACATTAAAGGGGTAGTTGTCCTACAGGGGGAGTTTTCTTCCGATATAGTTAATGGTGTGTGGTCGTGTGTGTGTGTGTGATAATGAAACTTATCTTTGTCTTACATATAGGCTCTGTCGAGCCAGAAGAGCATTACTTCTGTGTTAAGTATACAAGTTAATGCCCTTCTGGCTCCAAACAGACGATTTGTCTTTAAAAATACTCTATTATAACTCCAATGTGTATGGTTGTGATTGCTTGATAATCGTGTACACGTATGTTGGCCTACACAAATATATGTGCACTGTATTTAAATAGGCCTACTTCTGCAATTCCTACTTCTGCAATTCCTACATGAAATGGCTATCTAAATTTCCATTCAAACTTGTTAAGCAATGCTTGAAAATAAAATGATCTCTACAATTTACAATACCAATACATAATTCTTATCATAGAGGGTTTTTCTTTTTAATTATAATTCATTCATAGTTTATAGATTTTTATATCCACTTGAAAATATTTATTAAAATTAGTACAGGAGCGTTATTCTTAGCTATTTCCAAGAGTGACGATTAATGAGAAGGATATGTACATAAATATATTTATTGAAGCTAATTTATTTCGGTAATGTAAAAATACATTTTCACTATACCTTGATTTTCAATGATTGCCAAAGATCACTTTGGATGTCTCAAATGTAAAGTGGAAAAAATCCTTCACTCGTATTCGGTAATGCACAGCGATCATGCATGGAATGATTTAATTAGATTGCGTTTGATTCTTTCAACATTTTTCAAATTATAATGTGAGATATATTGGTAAAAAAAATGAGTTGCATTACGTATACTCAAAGGAGGAAAATTTGTGTAATGATGAGGTGCTGTTCTATAGAATCGACTTCATTTCATTCTGCACCGTGCCACTTACATTTTCTTTTCTTTCTCTCTCTTTTTTTTTTGGGGGGGGGGGGGGAGGGTGCATCAATCCTGAGAAGGGGGTGATATCCCTTCATCAAACTGTTGTTAAACAGCAATTTTCTTTACAATCCTCATTTTCTCAAAAGTTTCATTTCCTCTCTTTCTGGTACTTCTATTTTTGTCCTTATCTACAATTTTGGTCGGTGAATCTTATGAGTGGTGATGTTTTAAAAAGCACATTTATATCTAGGTTCTTGCATCCTATATTTCTTTGATCTGTCTTAAGCTGCTGTTATATTACATTTTCGATTGGTGTACATTTATTTCAAATTGCTAGAATCACTCCTGAGCAGAAGGAATAATTATAACAAAGGTGGATTGAGAAGGGCGATTAGACCACAACCAAAACTTTGGCATTCAGTGCATCCGAGATATGGAAAGAGATAGTTATGACAAATTCTTACAGAGAGTGATATAGTGCCCGGCCATCCGCAGCAATATTTTTCTGATGAAACTTGCACAATCAAGAAAACAAAAACGGCTAAAGGATGTAGATCTTGGCCTATTTCGTGACTGTTACGTAGTTAGAGTAGAATTTATTAGCGCCTAATTCATTTTTAGAGAAATTGTAACTCTCCATTTTCGCGATGATTCGAGATGACTTGTACGAAACATGCTTTTTATCCGGAATTAGCCAAGAAATAGCATGGACGAATATAACATTAATGAACGGGTTTTTCCTTGCAGTATTTAGGACTTCTTTGTATTTTACTTTGTCTTACTAGGTCCAGGTGAATACAGAGGCTTTTGTATTTTATAAGAAGTTTTCCAATCTTTCTTCTTTTACTCTGTTTGTTTTTATATACAAACGCGCTCTCTGTGACAATCTATTGTGTTCGACAACGAAGTCTTATTGACAACTTATTACCGGGTACCTGTTTTTCTTCGAATGTGCTTCTATGACTAATCCTATAATGTTTCCTTTGTATAATTAACCGTTACTCGTTATGACGTATATCATTTGCTATCGTTTGGTTGCTAAGCAACGCATGTCAACCCTGGTAGTTATACTCCCAACACTGGAAAACATCTTTTCTTTTAATATGGCAGCTACATCATTTCCTCGGGTTTGATAATTAAGTGCAGTACAAACATTTTTTTTCTATAGGTCTCGTGATTTTCGCGTCTCCGCATGTGGGTTGGAAAACGTGATGTAAGTTGTATAAGGTAATAACGAATTGACGATTTGAACATTAAACGAAAGGAAATGTGTGTGAATTATCTTTCGTTGCAAAAAATATATATCAATACGAAACAAAACATGTATCGGTGGAAAGTTTTACGATTATTGAGGTTTAGAGGTAGACTGTTTTATTCTCCTTTTGTTATCCTTTGCCTTGGATATTGCAATTGTATGTAAAAAGAAACTTTGCATATATAAATCAATGTAGCTGTTCTGTTATTCGTGCAACGCTGGCCCCAAATTGTGTCAAAATCACCCGTGTATTTTCTTTTACACGGTGCTTTTTATAATATATGTTTTTGTTTAATGGATCTTTTACAGGTTGTGTAGATTTTATAATGAGTACTAATGATAAAAATCCTAGTGGGGAGTTGACATATACATATATTTCATTCACATGTGGGCATTTTCACGAGTTTCTCAAAACTGTTTTAATTTGGTTGGAATTTGGTCAAAAACAAAAAAATCTCCCCCACCCCCCCTCCCCCCCCCCCCCAAAAAAAAAAAATCACGTCAGATGCGTAAAAAGATTGTAAAACATTTTTTAATTGATTTGTGTGAATTATTTTTGTAAAATAGAGAATCGTCGTGCTTTATTAACATAATTTGTGTATAATTTCACAGTAACATTCTCAATTTAAAAAAGAAAATGTTAATCCAACTTTGCTTATGTGGCTTTTTGAATAATGATTTCTAAGTTGTTTCTATGCTATTGCTGTTTAAATTTCTCGTGCACTTCGATCTTTCAATGTAGTCTATTATTTAATCGGTGAAAATAATGGATATTCACAATGTCACAGTTATGTTACTTTCTTTGTTGTAACTAAATGAAGCTGTTTTTTCGATATGCTTAAACTATGTTGCACTTAAAAACGGAATTAATGGAAACGGAGATTGGAAAACGAGTTGGTGATCTGCACTTCTTAACAAATCTTTTCGCTTACAATTGTTAGCCATATGAGAATTAATAAATTATTGGATGTTTAACTTGCACATGTAAACAAAAATGAATAGACTTATTTCTAAACGCCTGCACGACAACTATTATACTATCATACTTCGCAGTTACATATTTCCTTCTTATGTCAACTTGGCAGATACACGTATATTGTTCATGTACTCC